TGCACCTATCAGTAGCTAGAAAATAGAAAGGATGAGTTAATGAATACTATGAATTTTAGTTATAGTAGGCATAATCCATGAATGAAAACTCACTCATCCAAAAAACCCCTCCATTTTAACTTCAGTCCTTTGAATAGCACCATCTGACTCCAGCCCTTGTAAGAACTATTCAGTTATATGGAGAGGTTGGATTTCATCCTCTCTGTTATATATGCACTGTGGGCCAAGTTTTGCACTCCTCTTAAGCTTGCCCCCTCTATATGAGTTGTACACAAAAAAAAGCTGTATTGAACAAAATAATATATGCTGAAAATTTCTTGCTCTGAGAAGCTGGTCACCTAGAGAGATGACAGAAGACAGTTACATAAAAGCAGATGCAAGGACATTAATTGGAGTATGCTGAGCAGATATAGCTGCACATTTCCGTAGCATGCTACCCTTACCAGGCTGTGGTCTGACTCCAGAGTGCAAGTGGGAAGAAAATCCTGTTCACAGTCAAGGAAAAGGTACAGCAGTAGGCCACAATGTTTATGGGGAAAGTTTTTAACTACAGCTTTTAGGCATGATTTGCCATTTAAAAGCTTGTTTTAACAGTCTGTTCTGGACTGTTTTCTTATTCTTCTGATTTTTTTTTTTTTTTAATGAAGAGAAAATGGGACACGGAATAAGGACTTTGAGATATGAGGGGCCACGTAGAAAATCTAAACAGGACTGTAAACATCTGAGGGAAAGTGGGGGCATGGGAAGGGGTGAAGTTTTTCTTAGGTTGTTTTTTTTTTGGGTGTTTTTTTGTGGTTTTTTTTTTTTTTTTTTTGAGACCAGCACTGGACCTTTGTGCAACTCCAAAGCTGTCCCTGGTTGTACATTCTGGCCTCATGAATTTGTGTTCCTTTCCGTACAGTGATCCAGCTTCGACACTAAACTGCCAAATAAGGCGATTGTGTTTGCAACCACCACCTCCTTCAGGGGCTGGGTTTTACAAGAAAGGAGCAATCCTGCTTCCAGCCCCTTCGAAGAAAACTTGTTGATGGAAGAACAGATCTCTAGGATGTTTCCTTCTCAAAATTTTGGCTGTTTTCACTCTTCCTTCCATGCGTCTAATTTTCTGAGCTCTATATAAAGAATCTAAGTACTTTACCAGATCTGTATTTCAAAAAGCATCTAAAAGAAGTAGATCATGCTGGCAAACTAACACAAAAAGCTTGTTTCAGAGAGGAGAGATTAAGAAATGAATGCAATGATTAATGGAGCACTGCAGTTCCACTCAGTCTTCCAAAGTGCATTTTATGCTATCAAGAGTAGTCTCCTAAACAAGTTACACTGTTGTTTCATAATTCCAAACTTATAGTGCACCAAAATGAGAAACTAAGTGTCAGGTCTGCAAATCTGGAAGTAGAGCTGTGGGTTTCTGTTTCTATGAACACTATTTCCCTGTATTTTTTTCTTTCTTTGCTGTGTGATTTGAAAAACGAGACAGTGTTTTAACACCCAAAGGCCTGAGCTGCTCCATCGTCTTGACATTAAGTTTATAGTGAGTTTTTTACTTTGTGAATGGGTACACAAAGAAAGGCAGTGCTAGATGAGTGCTTCTCAAGCTGCCCTCCAAAGTCATATTAAGTAACGTTTATAAAGTCATCAAATAAGAGAGCTTTAACAGCAGGCAATGGTCATCAGGAAATTTTAAGACTGATCCATTGAGCTAAACAGCTTGGGGATCACTGCTGCATGTGAAAGGAAGCAGTAAGCTGCCCGGTACGTTGTTTTTACCATTCAGAGTAGAAACTGGGGGGAAAAAGTCCCTCAACGTTAGTTATTGAAAACAAGAGCTGTCTTAGTTATATTGCAGAAAGCTAATGTAAGTTTTGTACCCATTAACACATCTAAAGTTTTGGGGAAGAAAATTATCAAAATTTTGTATTTTACCAAGAATAACTGTATAGAGTATATTAAGGTTTGTGAATGATGAATATATTTTTATGCAGAAATACACAGAAGTAACATCAATACAATTTTCTTCCACTTCTTAATATACAGTTCACAGAAATTTAACAACTAAACCCAATTGTTTTGTACAAAAGTAAGCAGGGACAACTACACTGCAGTTGGAAACACGGGGTCAGACGATCTTTCACAACTGGCTACATTGTGTTTGCAGGTGTGTATCAGAGATTTACAAAAGGACCTATTACTTCTGCAATGATTTTTCTTCATGTATTTAAGAAATGTCCTGGATTACTCCCAGGCATTATTTTTCTAGAGATGATAATAAAATTCTGAAGTTTACCTTCTGGATATGGGAATTTTGCTGAAGAAAATTTTATGTAAGGCACTACTCAGCCCAATGCTTCTTGTCATTAATCAAATGTATTTTAAACATTTTAGACTGAGACATGGTTTAGTGGGCATGATGGTTGGACTGATGGTTGGACTTGGTGATCTTAAAGGTCTTTTCCAACCTTAATGATTGTGTGTGTGTGAAAGATACAAGGCAACGCTACCAGTCCAATTTCTCAAAAATCATGACTCAAACACCCAATATGACACTAGTTTTGTTTAACACCTGCTGATTTTAATGCATTACAATTCTTTAACTTCACCTTTTGGCCTCTAATCCTTTAATTTCAGATACTGTCAACTATTAGGAAATCCCCTCCATACACAGAAAATACAAATCCAGCAATCAGATCAGACAGTAATCACAGTAGCTACCAAATATGACGATAAGCAAGTTTAATGCATCCTCCACAAATTTTTCTCCCTTTCTTAAAAGCTTCCCTTACCCTCTTTTGTTGTTAAATGAATGTTATTTTTAGTATAAATGGTAATTACCAACAGCAAGGATAATTACAAATATCAACTAATTTCTGTGCCAAGTTTTGACAGTAAATACAAAAATAAAAAACAGGAAGGGAGCCAGCCATGAAGAGATCCTCACTTTCCTTGAAAAGCCAAACAGCCCCCCAAAGGCTTTCCTTTGGAACCAAAGCCCAGATTTTGTTTTCGTATTGACGCGAGCCTTGCCTTATTGTAAGCTGCTGGCATGGTAGTCAAGTCTTTAAAAGACTTCTTAAATAGAAAGAATTATGCTAACTTCTTTGGTAATAAGTTACAGAAATGATAGTGAGGCAGAGTTCCTGGGCAAAATGAAAAAAGGTGGAAAAGCATTCATCTGCCTCTAAGACAATGGGGTTTCATGGTAACCAAAAGCAAAATTCAAATATACATCTGATCTGACATCACAGATTTGGTTTAAAATGGAAGCATTCATAGTATTTCCTTCATGTTACATATAATACATGGATCAATTTTTAATGGATTTTCTTTAGAACAATGCAGCACACAGTAAAGTGCACGCTTTTCTAAGCTACTAGCCCCTCTAGGAGTCTCCCTTATCCATGCCCTGTCCAATTGTTCCAGTCATAAGCCAGTTAAACATGCCAACAGCGTTTGGGTTTATTTTGTGTCATTCAAGTGGCATGTAAGAAAAAGAAAGAGGAGGTGCAGGTGGTGATAGAATATAGGTCTAAACTTGGAAGCTGTGTTGGTGCCAGAGTGTCACAGCCACATAGAACAGATTTGAAGAATCATAGGTCAGGCTTGAGTTGCAGATAGGCAGGCATGCAAATTATTCTGTAGAACAGATCTGACGAAACATAGGGCAGGCTTTAGTTGCAGATAGGCAGGAATGCAAATTATTCTGTTAATGACTGTGGCATTGTGATTTGATGGAAAAAACCGAAATTACTGCTTGTCTCTACAATCTTCACTCAAAAGTGCCACTTCTGCTACATTTGTTTCCTGCTATATTTCTGACCTATGGTTTAGTAGTTTCATAAATCTAGCCATATGTATAAAATCACAGGAAAGAGATGCAATTGATTTAGTGCAAGACACTTGAATATTTATCTGAACGTAACAAACAAACAGAGGAAGATCAAAGACTCCATACATTTCTCCATAAGGCAGATGGTAATTTTTAAAATACAAGATCTTAAATATGCTGTTTATTTCTTAAGAGGTAGAAAATATCAAAATACTAAGAAAAAATGTCTAGCTTAAAACAATCAGTTCGCTTGCTTTTTAAAAAGTCTTACTGTTGCAAATTTCAGGTTAATAAAAACAAATGAAGCTATGGAAGCACAGGATTACATGCTCTGTATAGATTTTACTTACTGGAAAAAGAGAGCTGCTTCAACTAGTCAGTGCTCAAGCACTGACTTATGTACAAAGGATCTCCTCCTCTTGCCCTGTTAGGGGCTATAAAGTCTGAAGATTCCCAGTGGAAAATTTTGGCGATTCCTGAATTTCTAGCACTACATTAGCCGGGTACAGTTTGTGTAAGGCAATAGAACCACTGATGTAAGCTCAGAACTACTTCTTCCATAAAGCTAAGAAGAAAGCTAACAGAAATAAAAGCTTATTTAAATCTTTTTTCCGGACAGCAAAGGAAATCATACTCAGATTCCAACACCAGCTGATAGTCTGATAATAATTTATACTAGCCCAGAGACAGCTGAACTGCTCATTGAACTGTGGAAGCCTACTTACAGTTTGAGTTACGAAGGCTTGCACTCTGATTTCTCAGCACAGCTAGGAGATGCTGATGCTACTGTCTCCAATGCAATTCAATAAGGCATAAGTTAACTCAGAACTGACATTATTACACATTGGAAAAGTAGTGTAAAAGCTCCTCTTTTCCCTTTTGCTGTTAACAATCAGTACTATTTATTAAATATTTTATAAAAGGAAGTTAGGGTATTTATACATTTGAACAATCACTGCAATAGAGTAAAGAAAACAAATTAATTATCAGATTCTAAATTATGCACAATTCTGGAGATATGCACACTTACACACATAAGCATGCCCCACACATATATTTTATGTGTGTATGTGTGTGTGTGTGTATATATATGTAAATATATAGATATATTTTATATATACTTCTTTTAAATCAGATCCAAGAATACAACACGGAATATCTTCACTTGGCTCCTCTTTCACCAGAGGACAGGATTGTCCAGTTTGGAAAAACCAGGTTCTTTTCTAAGCTCCATGTAGGTTCCATTGCTCACCCAGGAGTCATCGTTGGATTTCCTATCAAAGATTAAACAAATGTCTTAAATGTAAAGCTTATATTTTCCATGCACATGCTGTGTAATGCAGTGTAGCACTATGTACCGACACCAAATCCAGCCCATGAACCAGGTGCAGTGCAATTCAGTACAGTCTTCAAACAAGGCAATATAGCTTGGGGAGTCGAACTGGTGTGTCTGCACTGGGCCTTGGAGACGCAGCTCAGTAGCCTATTGTTCAGCTGAGATCCACACTCTTATTTCACTGTCACATGCCAGTACTTAGCACTTAAAACTACAGTCCAGGTTTATTTCATGGTCTCAAAGGCAGCTTTGAGTGGACAGTGGAAACTTTCCATCTACCTCTCCAAAGATGGCTCACCATGGTAATTGCATAAAGAGAGCTAATATCTCTCAGTCAAGAGGCAAGACTCATTGCACTAGGTACCGTACCCTGAAGGAATCAGTCTGCTTTTAATCTAGTGCACAACAGCAAATTATTCTTTTAAGTAACTCAAGGCTTGTGATTTTTCAAGAGAGAAATCACTACTGAAAAGCCAAATACATAATTCATATCAACTCTAACATTGGGTGACACTTTTGCTATATAGTAATTAAATTTTTTATTCTGTTATTTAAATCTACAGCACAAATATAAATTTTCAAATTCTTATTGTGAAGGTTCAAATCCTCATTCGCATTCACAGTCCTCACTGTGAATATACAATTACGAAGGATTGGACTTTTTCTCTATCCTGTCTTTTTAGCCTGCTGGAAGCAACGTTTGCTTCTCTTTGGCAGGTGTGATAGACATGATGAGTTAGCTCACCAGCTCCTTGGACAAGTAGTGGTCTGAGGCATTTCGTTTTTGCACCTATTTTAAACGTTTCTGTGCTCGTCAGAAGGACTGTATCTACCTATCTGGAAAAAAAATAGGATCCCAGATCTGTTAACTGTAATACATAGGCCCATAGAACATTCACCTTGGCTCCAACTCTTTCACTGCAGGAGAACAGAGAAGCTGGAAGGCAAAAGGCCATGCCCTCACTAGCATTCATTTTTGTCTTTCGATGGCTGAAGTCTCCCATTAATTGATTTACAACAGGAAGAAATAAAGTGCCCTCTGAATGATAATTCTCTACCTATCACATAAAGGAAACATGTTCAAAAATAGCCCTGGAAATTAAAGGCTCCAACTGTGCACACTTCTGCACAAGGCAATCCCACTGAATTCAGCAGAAGTTCAGCAGAGGTAATTAAGCTAAATCTAGCTACTTCACCTTGCTTGAAAAAATCAAAGATGCTACATGCACTCAAGCAAATTCAAACGTAGACTAAATATCAATCACCAGCAAGGTAAAAAAATAGAAAGAAATTCAGGGATGCATTAATAGTTAAAACTCAGGGTTATATGTTGTTTTTTCAATACTGGAGTGTTCTACATTGCTGAAGTACAAAAATCAAGAATATAGAAGAAACCTGGAAAAAACTGGAGCCTACTCTATGGCAGTTTAGAACCAGAACTCTAATAAGAATTTCAATAAATGATAGTATATGCTAATCATGATATAGTACCTGAAAAATCTAGGCTGATGCTCTAGATTGTTTTCTTCCAGCACCTTCCGTCGTTCTCTCTGTAGCTGCTCGATCCTCTGCTTTTGCATTTCAGCTCCTTCAATATTCCCTTCTTCTAGAAACCTGCAGCACCAGTGGTGATAAGAGACACAATTCATGCTCCCGGCCCCCATCTTTGCCAGGTCCTCCAAAACTCCAGAATCTAATATTTACAGCAGGCAGTTCACTGGGTTTGAAAGGTAAACAGCTACATCTGCAGACAACTGCACTATCAAAAAGCACTTAAGGAAAAGTAACTCTCATAACAAGCTTGGGGTCATCACTGTATTATATTCTTTCCCTTGGAAGTTAGCAACAGCAGAAATTCCACCACAGAACGAAATTTGAAGCATCTCAGTTTTTGACTATTCAAACACAGTACACTTAACATCCAGTACCTGAAGTACTGAAGTTTTAACATCTTTGGAAAGGCAGTTACCTAAAAGCATGCAAGAGCCAATTTTAGGAAATGCTGGTCCATAATGACTAGACCATCTCTTGATAAGTGATTAAAATGTCTGTTTCAGATGTACATTAATGTAGAAGTAGAAACACACTGCAGGTATCTATACAAAATAGTCTGAACTTAGGGTAAAGTGAGCATACATAAGATTAAGAACTATGTGAGGAAGATATTTAAGTGTTAAAACTTTTTACCTTTGGTCCGGCCTAAAACGCGTATCAGTGGATGGGAGTAATGACCTAGTTTGCAGATCCAGTTCATTTAACTCAAGTGCAAATTGCGTAAATCCATACCACTGTTCATAATCTTTAGGCATCGGATCTACAAAAGAAAAAAGTACATTCAGAATTCCAGTTAAATGCTATTATCTTTAGAAGGAAAATTCCAAACTCCTCTCAGTCATCTATTCATCTCTTAAGCACAGTCTCAATTCTGGGGGAACAAGAGGTTTTAAATAATGTGACAAAAGAGAACATCCCCCTTGATAATTGTACTGCAACGAAACAGATTTCTGTTCTCTCAGCTGAATCAGAGTACAACTGTGATGAAGGCCATGGTATTACCTTAGTGCTTTTTCACACTATAGTAGACAAAACCCCACAAGTTCTGGAGAAGTTCAGATATGGCTGTCATTATAGAATCGAGCTTTGTGGGCTATTCTCCAATGTTTCATACATGAAATACACTACACTTCTCTACACAAAAAGTGGGGGGGTTTGTTCCCTTTTTTTCTCCTTTATTTCCTTTTCGAGTTCTCAGTACCCACTCCATGCCCAAATATGAAAATGAGGGAGTATGAAAATGCAGAAAGCCATGGGATTAAGTTCTCCATATTATTTAAATGATGTATTCTTCTGGTTTAAATTTTAAGTTCTTTACAAAAATCTAGTATTCCACATAGAAATAACAGGAAGTTGGGGCCTAATAAAGAGATGAAAATAGTAAGCTTGTTCTCAGGCAGATCTTAAGTTCTGTACGTTAGCCATTCTGGTCACTAACTTGCTCTCCATATGCAGTTTGAAGATGAAGTTGTTCCACAGTATAAACTTTCATGCCATTTCCCAAAGAGTCGATGCACAACTTTCCCAGCTTTATCCATGACACTGCCTTCAATCTCATGTGCATTTGGATTCCAGTACTTTGCCTAGAATTAAAAGAAACAAGGGGAAAAAAACCTAGGAGATCAAGCGTGAGTCATTTTGCCATGTCAGTAGCACCATGCTGTAGAGTGCTTTTCTGAAATGAAAACTATACACTTAGGTGCGCGTTGCAATATCCTATGCAAACAACTGCTGTTAGTACTATTAATCAGCTTATAAAAATACTAATGTTGAGAATCGTATTTATTTTGTTTGCTTTTTTGGGGGGCAGTAGTAGGTGAAGCACAGCTGGCCTTGAATTTTGCCCAATGACAGGTAACACAGACTCCTGACTTACCTACATCTTCCCCAAATTTACAGAAGAGGAAGAGAAAGAACTGATAACAGTAATCTCCACTTTAGACAATTTACAATATCAAAGGTGTAAGATTTGCAGGCTCTCATTTGAAATTTGAACTCTAAACATACATTGCAACATTGCAAATACGTTATAGTACTTTCAAATAAGTATTTGAAAATCCCACCCTAATGCTTCTTAGAAAGCACAAAGTATTCAGGAAAACAAAAAAAGGAAACTTTACTTCTGCTGCTGAGCATGCCATGCTGCGTAGGTACTTAGCTTGTATCTGTATGGTCTGTTTCTATTTAAAACACAGCCTTTCCCCATCAATCAGATACAGAAAATGCAGGTTAAGGTATGTCTCCTAGCATGCTTCGCAGAACTATTCCCCAGGTTAGAAATTCTGGCATCGTTTTAGTTTTCATTGATTTTCCTGTACTAGGAAGATGTCTATTGCCAAAAACTAATTTTAATTTCAGTTATAAGGGCATTTCCTGATGAAGTTGTATCTTGATGCCTCGTACTGAGGCAAAAGCTTTGAGTAACACCACAACCTCTCTCTTAAGCTCCTTTGAGTACCTGCAAAGGGCTAGAAAAGAGCATTGGGTGAAGCACCCCACATAAGCACAACTGGTTCTACAGTTGCTGAATGAATGCAACCACAGCACATGCCAATGCATTAGCAGGAGGTATATGGTAGACCACCTTGTGCCTACCTCTCCCATCAGACAGAGTAGGTTTTTAATCGTATTTCTTCCTTTCGCCATACTTTTCTGCATCTCAAGTGGAATCACCTGAGAAAGCTGTTGCTTCTCTTTCTTGACTGGCTCTATCTAATGAGTGGCAGTTCCTTCAGAGTTAAGGTTTCTCAAAGAATCACAGGTAATTACAGCAGAACTATAGGAAAATACAGCTTCTAAGCAGTTGTACTGAGCTTCAGTAGAGAGCATCCACCCACTGCTGTGTCTGTTAGAAAAGGCACTGCCAACATTGCTGTGGTTACTGCTCTGATTACCTTTATGAAAGTCAGTTTACAGTGGCAAGTGTCATCGTGAAGATTTTTGATGATGATCTCTCCATAGTGTTCAATCCATCTTTGCCCACTTAAGATGTTATGGATGCAAGATGTCACCTTGTTCCATGCAAAATGGTCTTTAAAACTGCAAGAAAAATACACACAAGAAAAATCTCATGCCATGTTCAAACAACCTCATAAACTTGTGAAAAAAAATTGCAGAGAACTTGTATTAGAAAAGCTCCACAAAACTATTTTTTTCTGGAATGCCTCCTCTTCTTGTCCCACACCATCTCAAAAACAAACCCTATGACAACAATACTGTCTCCCAGAAAACACTTTTCACTTCTGCTATAAACTTTGATCTTGAACTCAGTTTTCTCTCAATTTATTTGTCCCTCTTTACCAGTTTTAAGTTTCTAAAAGTAATCATTCTGATATCTTCTATTGGCTGAAATGCCCATTTCATAGCTTGTGACACAGTGACAACTGAATACACAAGGACATGAGTCACCAGAGTCATCAAAAGGCTTATTGAGTGGAATGACCTTGGCTCGGGCTCTCAAGGCTGGGAGCCTATGTGTGTGCCTCAGGCAAGAGCAAAAGTTCTCATCAGGTAGTTCAAGATAAAATTGCACACTGTGAGACAAGGAGAGATGAAAAATACCCATAGGTAATATATCATTTTACCTTTTATTAAAGAAGTATATGCTCTTATAAAACACCTTTATAAAACTTCAAGTAAAGGAAAGTCTCATGAAGACTTATATTCTAAAATTAGTTCTGGGTATTGATAGCCAAGTCGCTACTTGGTAAGGTACAGGGTAAGCTTACAAAGCACCAGTTTCCCCACAGCAACTGCCTTGCACACATCCCATGAGGATATAAGAATCTTTCCTTACCTCCCCTTAATCACTTGCTTTCACTTTCTGCTTTGTAAGAACATGCACAAGGACAGTTTTTACAGACTAGCAGATATGCAGCCAATTTAAGTTAAGCTTAAGCCACGGTAAGTTGTTTTCCTGCCCCTTCCTGCAGGTTACGGTATTTTTAGCGTGCATAATACAGCATGTATTTGCTCAAAAAATAACCTTAATACTAATGCTTCATTTTTACCTATAGCCTCAGTACCCTTTTTGTACCCAATTCTATATCAGATACACAGGGATACAAACCGGCACATGGAGACCACACATGAATCAGATAATTTTCCAGTTCATCAGCCCACCATGGGCCCTCATCCGTTAGTTACCTTGCCTCTGAACCCCCACTCACATCCTGAAGACCTTTCACTCCACGGCTTAGGCTAGCCACTATGAACACAACACATTTTATACATTACCTTTTGGATACTATCTTACTACATCGCAATTTTACCCACTTAAAAGAAAAAAGCATGCTTAGGCGCTTAGTCTGGTAAGTGCTAAGTTCTTGCGTTATTTTTCTTTTTTCAGATGTCAGAATAATTAATTTTGTAGACTCTCTTGGGAAAATAGATTTAATTGGACACTACTCAACCTTTAGATCTCTGGTTCTGCAAACACAGCCAAATTTTAAAGGATTGTAATTGTTGATCTGTAACAGGCATTCTGACAAGCCAGCATAGGAATACTGCAGATTTTTATTAAAAAAATAAATTAGACTATACTCAACACGTAATTACACTGGCTGCTCACTTCCTGGGATAATAAACACCAGGTATGCAACTGGTTCTATTTAGCACTTACAATAATTATTTATCAGCCTCACCTACAGACCAGGACCCCATGGTGTTAGGGTCCGTACAAATATAGGTACAAAAGACTGCAACAACACCACCACCCTCTCCCTCAAATACATATTCAAGCAAAAGAATTCATAGCTTCCTCTACCACACAGTTTTTCCCTGTGAGTTTAAAATGCATATGAAGCTTGAAATTCAACTGAAGTATAAAAGTACCAACTTTGCTTTTTTCAAGATACTTAGGAGTGATGTTTTTTAATTAATCTTTTGGTTTTTTATAACCCTTGGAAAGAGTTAGCACGTCTGTTATATGCTTCTGGTTTTGGTTTGTTCCCTCCTCTCCTTTCTTTTTAAATTAAATCATAATCACCAGTTCTTCCAAAGGTCTAATACAGCACAGCACAGCTTGTTCTCATTTGGACAAATGTGGCTCCAGTGTGTGCAAGTATGTCTGTGCCTGTGTGTGAACAGCAATGCACGACGCCAGCACTTACGCTGGAAGAGTCACATGTGTTGTACCAACTGGAACAATTTCCATGGACTTTCCCCAGAATTTGTTTTTCCATCTTACATCTGAAGGAGGAAAAAAAAGAAAAGGCAGGTTTAGTCATAAGCATGGGTGAATCATTCTATTTCTGGGTTCTACTTTACTTTCAAGAAAATAACAAAGTGCAACATAAAAGTGTTCAAAGAATGATGTGGACCTTCGAACATGGTTTTGTTTGGTTTTTTTTTCATTACATTATCAGTTATTAAATAGCAAAGTAAAAGAGGTTTAAAAGTTCTCTCTCAAAAACTTTTTCAGAAGAGAGGAATTTGAACAAGCTATGGACAGGATATATTTATCTACAATTCAGTTGCTACTGAATAAATGCAGATATTTCCAAAAACGAAAGCAGAATTTCAAATACAAAAATATAGCAACTAAGAACATCCACAGTGAAGAAGCAAAAGAATGTTTCAAAGGGCACAAAATTGCAGAGGGATTTAGTCCAACTTCCTCTGTAATTTAATTGGCCTTCTGAATCACAGAAAGACGTGTCCAAGCCTCATGTCATTTCTCAAAAATAATGCAAGTTTAGCCAAATTTATTGAGCAAAAACACCTGGAAGAGAAAGAAACCTGGACAGAGAAGCACAGCAGAAGGGGCATAGCATTAAATTAGACTAGATAATCAGACAGCAACTTCCATTGTAACTTCAGAGATCAGGGGAATAGTATCCTTGCTGTACTAGATGCTGGGAACTCCATCCCCTGCCCAATCTGAAAAAGAGGGAAAAAATAATCTCTAGTCTCAAAAAGATGCTAGTACTAACACAAGGAAAACCAAAACACTTTTTCCTATGCAATGTGGGGGGAAGCTGTTAAGCTGGCTGTGAGACAGATGCTCAAACCATAGTTAGGGGATTACATATCTCCTCAGTATATATGTTCATGTGATAGGACTGAGCCACACCAAGCTGCCTACCATTGCAAAGGCTTGGATGGGACATAGGGCAGAATTCCTCATGAAAAAAGTAACCCTCTTCTTATCACTTGAGAACAGGACCTTTTTTTTTTAATTTTGAAGTTTGATGTTGGGCCTGCATCCTTAGTGACAGCAATTCTTTTGTGATTCCTATACCGCACAGTAAGAGTTCCAAAACTACCTTTGACTATGATGGTGTTGAGCCAAATTCTGTACTAGCTTTCTCTCTTCTGCAGTGGGATGGAAGAGAAAGGGCAAAGGCACACCCTGCTGAGTTCAACAGTTAAAACCTATTATCAGACTGTGTTATGTTCCATGTTCTCATAAATGGCACAGCTGTCCCACAGAGATCAGTACATGGGAAACATCTTGGGAACCAGTGTGTAATTTGATTATGCAAAAATTTTAGGACAGGTAAGAAAAGTGTTATTTTCAAAGCTATGCTCAGAATAATTCAGGCACAGATGCTGTAATAGCTGGAACTTTCTATTCTGCATTTCCATTGTTCATGTATCCACACTCCTTTACAAAAGCAGAGTCACCATCGTAAGTCAGGGAACACAATTTCCAAAATAACTGTCCCTGTCGGAACCCAGTCTTCTGGCTCACTAGACATGATCAAGACGTTTCTTGATGTTGAAGCAGATGAACTGAGGTCAGCGTCTGGTGGGATGACAGAACTACTCTAGCAATGTTGCCGAGGACCGTCTCCTTTTTAGCTGAGGGGATAATACGGTAAGTGAAAAGCTCTTTGCACACAGAAAGAACTTACCTCATTGACAAGCTATCTTTATGAACTTGATATTAATCTTTCCATATAAGTTAATATAGCCCCATAACAAAAGGCCACAGCATTTACAAACTGCCCTTGCATTGGAAAAAAAATAATTGTCTAGATCTCCCATAAGCTCAGCTAGCCACATTTAAAAACAGAAGAAAACAAAACCAAACCCCAAAACCCTGCAGTACGCTGATTGAGTCTCCTGTGCTCATTAGGACCAAATCTCGGATTCTTTCTCATTGATCAGATTCTCAGCTCTCACCTTTACAGAAGAGCTTTGTTCTCTAAACAAATCTCTCTGTTGTCAAGATCTGTTAAACAAATCAGTCTCATCAGTTCTTACTAAGACAGGCTTCTATCTAGTCTCATTTATATAGTATTCAGTTACTGAATAAATTTTTGTTCATCTCTGCTTTTTGGCTAAGAACAAAAGGACTCTTGTACCTGTATTTGGTTACAAAGCAAGGAATTATATTGAATAATGAAACCCATACTAATGACAGAGTTCCAATTTCTGTTCAGTATGGCTCCATCTGTAATAACTATAATCAAGTCAGCAGAGTCAATCATAACAGAATTAAAGGTTATAATATGGCTACACTGTGAGTTGCAAACCTCTGGGTGAAGGAATTTAACTGAGTTAAAAGGCACAGTTATGTTCTATGTACGCTTCCAAAAATATCTAACCACACAGATACTGTGACTGGCTGACAACTTCACCAACATTACACAGCAAACAAAGCTCCAAAACAGTTTTTTTGAAACCGAATTTTAGTAGTCAAATAGCATAAAATCTTACATACTGTAATAATGCCAGCAGAGAAAGACATGGTAAATATATTTATCCTTTCTGTTATGCTTATTTTTGGAAATTTTTTGCAGAACAGGTTTACAAGATCTGCCAAGGTTCAGGATTTAACCTGTAGTTTTTCAAGCTGTGTTCTAGCTTGTTTGTTTTATAAATAGCTTGAGGTACAATTCTTGTTTACTAAAGACCCCCTGCAATAAACCTGATTTTAAAGAAATGCACGGCACCTCCATGAAAAAAAAAAAAATCAATGTTATTAAAAAAACTTGAATGTTTTTATAATGGCAGAAGATCCAAGTAAGAAGCATGCACGTAAGTATAAGCTAGCATTTCTTAAAGCCATTCTAATACAATTTAAGCAGGGAATTTCACCTTTTCCCAATTTCTGGATATTTCATGTTAGACATACAATGAAAATATTATGAACACTGTAAAAGTAAATGATAGACTGAAGAGTTACCTTGCCAAAAAGCAAAATTCACAGATTCAGCATGGCATGCAGAAATAGGTGGATGGTGACTGACCTAATAGCAAGACATGAAAGGAGAAAAAAAAAAAAGATGGAGATATTAACAATTGAACAGTCATTTTGGTTTGGGTTCTTTTTTTTTCCCCTTCATTTTTTGTTCATATATGGCATATTACAAATTGAACATTTATTTTCCTTTTACAGTTGTGTCCTGAAGGGGGAGTCAGTGAGATTAATAAGGTACCGAGACCTAAGAAGCCGTGAAAGAAATGGGAAGCACTTATTTTAAAAGGCCTGTGAATTTTGTTTATAGAGCGAAAATCTAATGATACATTTTGTACATTGTCTCTAATGTGATAATTACATTTAACCTTAGGGCCCCCTTAATATATTAATGGAAACCACATATAGACAAAAATAAAAAAAAAAAAGAAGGGCCAAATTCTTCTGTGCAGTAAATACCCACAAAACCCTGACTATGAAGGAGAAGACAGTGATCAGCATCTCTGAGGGGGCCACGGGTGGAGAAATCAAGCCATGAAGTCCCATCCAGCAACCTCTACTACTGCAGTCATGACACCCCAGGTGTTTCTAGTGCGAAACTCTAACCACACACACTGCATTTTATCAGCTTTGGGTAATAGCACATACATGAATTAGGGCAACCACCAAAATAGCAAAGCAAGGACTGTAAGTAAACAAACAAATACATAATGCAGACCATGAAAAGGAAATAGTAAATAATAATGTAACTGCACAAAGTCAAAGCAGCCACTCCTCCTTGGCTGTAAATTCTCCCTTCTGGGTGAACACGACTAACAGCTGACCAGGACCAACTCTTTGATGTGTAATGCTTACTGTTCTTTTGACAAAAACAACTTTATTTTCAAGTAAAATTGCTATTTCCCACCATGAATCTAATTTCTTAACCACCTACATGGCTCAAGTACAGTTTTACTTTCTTCTTTATTACTCATTTTGCAAATCTGTTACTGAGCATATTTTCCACAGGCATCCAGTTATTTACTGAACATCCTCTATTTGGTTAAAAAAAAAGAAGAGAGAACAGTACTAATTACTCTCAGCTATGCCCTAATCCACCAAGAGCAACACTCTCTCTCACATACTGCACCCAGATTAACCCCACGTCATACTATAATTCATGGGTTAAACTTAGCGCTCTCTTAAACTGTTATAATTCTAGAGTAAGGTCATGGTGCTAAGTGGAGTTATTCTAAACTCACTCTAGTAATATAACAGAATCTCTGTTATTTTATACATTTTCTCTATCTATCCATGGATTACATACTATCTGCACTAACGAGTCATCTAAATTAAGCATCAAAATGCTTGCACAAATGAGCAATAAGCAACAGCTCCTGATGCAAAGAGAAATATTTAATGCTTGCAAGCGGCATGAAATTTCTTTCCTCCTATACTGCCCTTCCTTCCTAATATTACTCCATCCCATACTATTACATAACTTCACCACTCGATAAACTCATGTCACTTATTGCATGTCTTAGAACAATAGTTGTTAACAGCCCAAGCTCCCTCATGTATTAAAATTCCTCTTTAGAAAAAATAGCCTTTGTACTGATTTATCTAATATCAGGGGAAAATCTCTTCCTTTAATTCCATCTAACATTAAGCTCAGTACCAACCTTTATTTACCACTTTGTCACTCCAGTTTGATGATACAGTGGTAACTACAGTGCTCTATACACATCACCTTAGAACTGAAGTAACACAATGAAGAACCAGATATAGGACTTGAACTTTAAATCTTATTTTTGCTTTGACTGTTTTGCCTTTTTTTTTCCTCCTTATTTTTACTCTTCCCTGTGACATTTACCAAGACTAAGGGAAGATCACATAGCACTCCTTTTTGTCAGTTCTAAAACATAATGTACAAAATGTTGTATCTTCAGAGGTGGTCTTCCTAAAGGAATCCTCTTAGAATGCTTTCTCTGATCAAATTTCTAGGTTGTACACCCTTGCCCACTGCACTTTTTGCATTTTTTGGAGGGGGTTATGTCTAGACAGAACAAGACAGCTTTCAATCATTCTTACTCTGCTAGGCACCAGATTCTTTAAGTTTTACCTCTTTTTAACATATGTGGCAAGCTTAGCAATTTTGGCAGCTTGGCTGGTTTAAATTTAGTATTTTTGATCCATACTTAATAATAATTCTCCTACTGGGGAATTATTTTCATAAACACTCAGGCCTTGATGTGTTGTACACAGCCTTCACCTACTAAGCTGCGGTACCAGATCTGAAAGACTTAGCCCACAAAGTGCTTGGACAGGAAGCAGAAATATTCATGGCACCATAGAAAATACTAGCAGTTGATTGACTCACACAAGGGATGTATTTGTTATAAAAGAAGACATTAAACAGCTGAAGATACAGTATTTTTAATGATCACACAAAAAAAAAAATGACAAGAATGTGAATGCTTGTTGCAGTTGTGATCAGATTTCAGCATGGGGAATGGCACTCTACTTAACCAAATTACCTAGTTACTGGAGTAGGCAGCCTGCCAAGCCTTTCCTTCTCGAGTGTCAGCTGTTGGTTGTCATGTTCCATCCCAGAGTTAGCAGACTTCCCTCAAAAAACAATTTCCTTCATTTATGATTCTGCAACGTCCCTTGAGTTTTGCTGGGCTTAGGTTATGTAAAGTAATTTTGTATTTTGCTATTAATTCCAGAGGATTCCAGCCATGCATTTAGAATTAAGCAGTGTATCAAGTAGCAAATCTAAGGGTTGCAGCATAACAGTACCTGTTCTGCAAAGAACTGGAAACCCTTATCTTCACGAATACATTCATAGGTTTCTCCAAGCACAGGATTAAATGGCTTACTTCCAGCTCGGTAGTAACTGGATGCATATGCAGAGACTGCAAAGGCAGCTATATACACCTGGGGATAACATATGTGGAATTCTGATTAATTAATTTACCACAGCCATGCACAATTTTTGTTATACATTCTGATTCAACAGAAGAAAAAAAAAAAAGGTCTTATCCTGACATCAGAGTCTGCATTTTTCCCATCATTTGCAGACTACAAACATGCATGCCTTTTGCAAGTTAAGCACTAGCGCACACATTAGAGAATTATTCATTTTTCAGAGAGTCATTCAATGGTCCAGGAATGGAGTTATTAGGGTCAAACACTTTCATCAACTCAAAACAGCATTTCTGAAAACTGTTCAAAACAGCTTAGCATTCTGCAACACAGTTCAAAGCAGTAACCTTAAAAAAATCACTGTTTGATTTTGGCTTTTGTAGTTATGGTCTGTGATTCTATGGATCTACCAACTGTCCTTTTCCTAAACATGGCACAGGAAGTATTGGATGAGTTTTCACCAACTTTGATATTTCTAATGCTGTCTGAATTGAATTCCCTTTTATCTACTGTGTGCTATTACCTAATTATGAAACTGTTCTTGATTATGACTGAGACACAGGTTAACCCCTTCCAAATTTTTGCAGTCAGCTCACGCATAATTCCTTCTAAACCTGAGGAATTAGAAGTTGGGGTTGTTCGGTTCAGGTCTCTTTTCTGCCACTTTTCTCCCTTTTCATTCCCCTTTCCTCATCTTGTGAAAATGTAGATGCTCTCCTTTCACAATTTCAGAAACTGAATTCACTTCGGAATGGCTCTTTTATGAACTATTGCAATTACTATGCAACAGCTAGCATTAACTTTGCCTCACGAATTTCTCAAAGGCACAGAATACTCCATTTCTGAGGTAATTTCCAGATGCTTGGGTATGGGAAGGAGGGAAAAAGCTTCTTTTCACTCCCATATGAACTGCTACTGCTCATTTCCTTTTCCTTTTAACATACGTTCTCAAGAGAACAAAAAAAGCTATGCGACGAAAACCCCAGTTAATATCCACACCCTCTGTCCTGAGAACAGACACTAAATTGTAACCCTTGCAGAGTGGCAGAATGGAGCAAGAGGCTTTTCAAACACTGTTTATAACATGACTATTTACATTCATTAATAACCTCATTTTAAGATATCTTGAGTTGAAAAGGCTTAATTCAGTTTAAGGGACAATCTATAGCTTTCTTTTAAGAGAACTTACAGAGCTTTTAATCCTTTATTTATGGGCTTACATATTAGGTAGCTCTTGTGCACCTGGAAGCAGAGCAACTGAAATGCATTTTTCTCTCATTCTTTTGCAAAATGCTGGATTTGGGGTTCTGCACTGTCAGAAGATGACCCTGTTACTTAACCAACATATATTCATATTGCATGGCTTTGAGATCCTGAACATTTTTGATCATCCCCAAAACTTCACAAAACCAGTTAATAAAACAAATGGAGCTCATTTAGTTTATATAAAAATATCACAGTAGTGTAGGGCTGGAAGATCCAGCATCCTCTACGCACAAATATGTTACCAGATTAGACACCCTTAAAAGAAGATTTATTGTACCTTTCATACTCAAGAGGGAAGTATGTACATTCAACCCCTTTCCCTTTTTGCTGTAAACTTTTAATCTTACAGAGTAAGAGCTGAAAAACAGAACTAAACTACTTCTTTGTTGTACCTTGCAGGACAGCAAGGTACTTGAAGAGAGAGACTTCCTGACAAAGCAACAGAAATTTATAGAAGAGTCAAAAATAGTGGGTATGCAAGTATGTACAGACACACATTTGGAGCCTGCCTCTCTCAGACGGGAAAAAAAGAAAAATGGAACAGAACATTTTCATTTCTTTGGCAGATTGTTTTTATATTTACTCTATTCTAATTATATGGAATGTTACTAAGTATTTGGAATAACATATTTACCATCCGTTCAAATGCGTTAGGCGTATGCGCTGCTTTATCTAGTAGTTCACTGTACTCTAGCTCCTCGCAGAGACGCTGAAGGGTGTTAAGTGGCTCATTTAATTCAACAGGCATGGCCACTTTGGAGAGATCCTTTCCTATGTTATTTCTCAGGATGTTCCATAGGCTGATGTTACTTGTATTAGGACACGGAGCTGGTAAACATGTTCTTCGTTTAGAACTGCATCCCATTTCACTTTCAGAAATACAGTCTGAAAAGGAAGGAAGTGGCAGAACAAGTCAATTCACTGTTTACTTCATTTCAACCCCTTTGCAAACATATGTTAAAACACAACCATCTTTTTTCTGTCAAAACTTCCTTCCACCCTCACAATTCATTCAAGCATTTCACTTGTGGTTTGAAGATAGTCTTTTATAAAAATAATAAAATTAAGACCAAGATTTTAATTTCTGTATGTTCACTGAGGTAAATGCCAGGTACAAAAGATGCATGAAAAAAATCACCTTCCTTCACCTTGCATGCTACAAGAAAGGTTCAGGCTTTCCACTGGATTTGAAAGAGTAAGTATTGTAACTATTTTATTTTGTAACAGACATGGATTCCTAGCTGTTTAAATGACATAAAACCTCCCTCCTTGCCAGAGCTTCAATTAAGTTGACATTTCTCAGAAGGCAATGCGTAGCTTACAGATCCAGGCATAACAACAACTCCTACATATCTTTTTCTACTTTTTTGAATACTCCTTCCAGGGAAATTTACTGCACCACAGATTTACATCAGGCTTTTCCACAGTGCTCCCCATAGTGCTTAGCATTTAAAAAATTTTAGTGATGTTAGATTTTAGATATACCCATACGTTGGCAGAGAAATGGCCTGTTTCAAACATGGAAAAGCTGAAGCAACTGTGAAGCTATGGGTTTGCTGAAGATTAAAAAAAAAGACTCATGTCAAGGGTCCTTGACATGAATATCTGAGGTCTGTGTTGCTGTATCAAAGCAACAAGAATGGGATAAATAGTTCAAAGTGTGCCATGAAATGATTTGTGGCAGGATCAAAACTAGCTCAACAGAGCTACAAGCTTCTGTAACAGGCAGTAGTCTAAAGTGATTACATTGCTTAGTTGTACATCAGTCTTGTTTCAGAGAGGAATATGGTTGCCACTACAACAACATATTTTATCTCTACATGTCTTTAGAAGCACCTAGGAAGCTCGTGCCCTAGAATCAGTTACCATTTGGAAACATTCAGGTATAGCCCCAGTCTGTCAACCGCTGTCCTCATCTGGCTTTCCTCACATAGCTTTGTCTTGGAGGAATTAAAACAGCACTGGGCAGCCCATCTTTCCTGTGCTGCACATGCCCAAAGAATCACTGCCCTTAAGCACACAATTTCAACCAGTACTTCCTCTGCCGGTCCACTGACATAAGCATGATATCAGCAGCGTTTCCAACAGTGACAAAGTACAGATAACCACAAGGGCTAACTTCTCCATCACTGCCATGTATGCTAGCCCATGCCTCAGTTGGAGGTTTTCAAGTGTAATCAGCAGCTTCAAAGTTTTGAGGAAGAAGTTTCCATCTTTCCTGCCACTCACAAACTAGAAGTCCTAAAATCTCATATGATCAAGTTACTGTAATAAGGACAGGTGAACTATTTGCAGTCTAGTGCCTCTCTCTTCCTTTTTGCATAAAAATGGCACAGGCACTACAAATCAAAAAATCTACCTGAAACATTTAGACTGTTAAGAGTTAAAAGGTTGGCTCCTACACTTCCCTCTTGGAAGAATTTATTTAATATCAGAAGAGGCCAAAAAGAAGGCTGTTCCCTTCGATACCTCTGGAGATGAAGGAGGTAAATGCTAAAAATTTATCCTTGTCCAAAAGAGCTCTCTGAAATGGGATTTGGCTATGTCCTTTGACAGCTTCTGGTTAAAAGCAGAATACTAATTGACTGAACTACATATTCTGGACTGGCCCATTAATTGAGGTAAACAGTGACAAAACAGACCAGAAAAACAACTAAGATATTCAGATACCAATTTTTCCATACAGTGAAGTTTGCCCCACCCCCCATGAAAAGAAAAGCCCGTGCGGTTCTGGTTTGCAAGAGTTGTGACAAATGGCCAGCAACAATACTGAAGGAGATCAAGACATCTGACCTCCAGCTAGACTCAATGACTTTTAAGGCCAGACTGGACCATTATCATCATCTGGTCTGACCTTATACATTGCAGTGGCCAGAGGATTTTATCATAATCCCACAATTTATGGTTCAGCTAAAGCCCTGTGGGAAAAAGACATCCAGTTTGCTATTAATGGGAGTGGCACGCTGCCCAAAGCACAGAAATAGCAGGTACCAGAAGCATGTGGAGGTGCTGCTAATACAGAAAAGCTTCAGTGATAGTCTTTGTTAAAAGAAGATGAACAGCCACACTAGTACAGTTTTCTAAGGTCCAGATCATGAAATAAATCAACCTGTATTCTTTCCCATCTTTCAAAAAATACCCTTCATTTTTAAACAGTTACAGAATACAACAGATCTCCAGGCATATCAAACTACCCAAGTTCATAGAGATCCACTGGTCCTTGAAGATGATCAGGAAACAGCTGCTAGTAAGAAACCACTGTTCAGCACTTTTGAAGTTAAAAATATATTGATAGAGTGGGAAGAACACCCTGTTTAACTGAAAGGAGTTGAAGGCACAAAGCCAATTAGTTTGTTATGACCAATTTTTCTCCCTCTTCTTTTGATTCTGTCTCTAATTAGCAAGGCAGTTAAATAAGCAAATGTACTAACAAGACTATCATGATTAAAACATGCAAAAAAGAAATCCTTATGGTCATACACCAGGCCTGCCAGCGTGTAATTATTCTCATGTTCCTTTAAACACAGAGTTCTGCTAAAAACAACAGAACTCTGACTGCAGAGTCTAAATTGCAGACTTAAAAAACACAATGACAAGAAGAAAATTACTTTTTGAAAAAAAAGAAAGCAGCTAGGCCTTGCTACTTTGAAAAATCCCATAGCCATGAGAGGAACTGAAAAAGAATGGGAGTTGCACCAAAGAAGCCAAGAAAATGGGTGTTTCTCTGCTCATACAGAACCACCATCCTGCTTAATCAACAGTGCCTGGGCCCTGTTAATCAGATTAGCCAGAATGTGCTGTTCAAAACCAATCTGAGGCTGTAAAAGAAAAAACACAGGCTGTTTACATCTCAAAACCTGTAAGATCAAATTACTTCTAGGAAGAGGGAAAAAAAATATCCCAAACAAAAAGTAACAAAGAAAAATCTCAGAACATAGTATAATGAAACACTGAAGTTACCTAAAGTTTGTCTTTCATTCTCCATGTCATTGCTTAGGTTATCTTCTGAGACATTATCACTGATATCACTTACGTATGAGTCATCATCTGATACCTGAGTGTGGGGTGGGGAAATAAGCAAGATATGTCACTCATTAAAATAACCCCATATGCACAAGTTACTTTGCACTGCAATTATTGTTTTAATAGATCTGAACTGTTTAAGCTGTGTTTCAGTATTACAGGAAAGTACTAAGAAGTCCTAAGAAGACACAGCTGAGTTTGGGAGAGATCACCATCACTGAAAATTCAACTATTCTTTTAGTGGAGTCGGGTTTCATCTTCTTGGCCCCACAGCGAATAAGGCTTTCCTCATATCAAAAGCCACGTTTTTTATGGAGTCCGAGAGAGATGACAAAATGAACCATTAAGTTTCAATATGTATGACATCAGCCCCAAGGCACCTACAGGTACCACAAGGACATGTATGAATATATATTTGTATGATACAATTTCTTAAGCACCTGTTTAACAACTCAAGGCAGACAGTACAATATATGCAGTATCTGCATACTAGCTACCTAATTGCCATTTGCCTCAATGTGCATTTAAGACTTCTCCATAATAACTGTTACATTTTACTGTGAAGAGACAATGACAACAAATACACACATGCAGAATATTAATTTCTAAATGTTTTGAAAATTTGCATTTTCTGGCAGTCTGATATGCAGTTAGCACTCAGAAAGACTGCACATCAAGTAGCAGATAAGAAACTACAAGAGAATGATGTCACTCTTAATGCTCAGACCTCATTTTCTGAAGAGCTAGCAGACAGTAGGACTTCCTGTGCATCAAAAAATTCTGTGAGAGAGTCAGCTATAGACAGTCTGCTTTCATTGGAGACCTGGTGAACCAGACCTCTGCTTTCTTCTCTTGAATTTTCCTGCTTAAAAGAAATAGAAAGTTTTGAGAGAAGAAGTACCACAAACAGCATTCATGCATGCAATTCCACAGTCACATAACTTAAAGGGCTGTAAAACACTGGAAGATTGCACATGCTCCTCTCCAATTTAGTGAAAAGTAGCATGTGTTTCAAAGAGGGATTTAAAACCAAAGTAAAACAGATCAAAGAGAAGAAGAAAAAAAGGGAAAAAAAGCAATGCATATTCAGTAAATCAGTTATGGCGCTGCATGTACCTTTTTATTAAAAAAAAAAAAAAGTAAAAATGCTTTGATATTTGAGTGATTTAGCCAGATATACAAAAATGTATCATCAAAAAGCCCCCAAAAGAACAAAACTCACATCTCTCTATATTACAACCCAGTTTCACATTCTCTTCTGATCTTAGCAAATGAATTAGTCTTTTCCTCCCAAGCCTACCTTAATGCAAAGCCTGCAGTGCAGTGGCATACAAAATTCAGAGAGGCCAGGTTGCTTTCTGTGTAACAGCAATGTTTTCCTAGCTCTCTTTCTTCACTAGATAATTTTCTATGCTGTGCTTTGTAAAGCCTTCCTTCATATCCACATCCGAGATAGCTCCATGTTAACGAAAACCAACATATTAAAGCCACATAACTGACATTGCTTTTGCTGCTGCAGGCACATTTGACTGCCATGGAGGTCTCGGTAACTCCTCTTCAGCTCTACAGATCATTGGTGTAAGCAAAGTTCCAAAAGGTGGCCTAGCAAAGGTGGGGTGACCAGTAAGACTTGGTTCATTCTGTGGATGCAGTAAAAAAATGTTGGAGAACACTGTGCACTATTGTTTTGCCTGGTAACTCCAGCAATGCTAAGGAAAAGGAGTAGCTGGCCCAAAGGAGTGTATTAGCTACTCTCAAGCTTTTCTGCCTGAGATGCTTTACTAACTTGTAACCATGACTGCCCTATCATAATTTCGCAGGAAGTCTAGTGTTTTACTTTCAGAACAACATAATGAACAATCTGACAAGTCTACAATCAAACTGACAAATCTTCTTTCAAAGCTTTTCTGCTAGTAGATTTTACTATAATACAGAATGTTATTCAGTACATGCTGATAATGATGACATGGTAACAAACCAAACTGTTATCATACAAAAGACTATTTTTAAATTTTAAAAAAATACTTCTGATATAGCAGCAAGAAAAGAGGAAACCTCAACATTGTCTGTTCTGTGGGAAGGAAGTTACACTAGCCTACAAGTAAAAAAATAAGTCTTACACGCGCAAGCATTGCTACTGGGATTGTTTCCTATCCTATTATGAACCTGAGAAGGAAAGTGAGCAGGAAAGGTTCATAAAAGAACAGCAAGTTTTTGTATCTTTCACATGAGAGTTTCAGGTGTCCTTCTTTCATGTTCCCACTCTGGCGTGATAAACTACAACATAAACTGCTCATTAGACAAACTAAACTTTCACCTTATGCAAGGGCTTGAGATACTAGTTTATACTGCTTCAATTTTCACAGGTCTGTCATAGCACCTGATGTATCATTTAGAGCCAAGCTTTGTGCAGTGGCCCTGTCTTCCTCACAGCAGCACTACTGTACATAGTCCTCAGACAATGAAACTTCTCCAGTATAAGTTACTTCATCCTTAAGTTCCATCCCAAACCATGCCAGAGGGAATTAGTGAATGAAATCTCTAAAGGACCTTTTGAAAGCTATTTTTGACTCGTGTGTATATAGTGCATGGAACAAGTTTCAGAAATAATCCACTGTCATTGCAATGACCTCCACTAAATAAGAAAAGAACTCCTGAAATTAAAAAACAATGCATTAATGCTTGTCTGGATAGCAGTGTAAGTGCTGTTCAAATTCACATGGGATTAAAAGCAAAAGGCATCAGAATAATCAACTATCTTAAAGAAAAAAAAACAAAACAAAACCTAACAGCTAGATATGACCAAAAAACAGCTCTATTAAAACTCAACCAGAAGTGAACAGACAGAATGACTAAACTGTCTTTAAAAATAAAAGGAAATAATAAGTTGTATAAAACCCCCAGTGTTACATCCACCCAAATTCTAATGAAAGACGTATACTGCAAGCACAGCAGAAGTCTCTCTGTGAGTTAACATTTAGGAAAATCCATCAGAAATAACACAGTTCTTGCTTCCCTCACTGGCACCATTAACACCTAGATCCGATGATCTATAAATGCACCATACTCACATGCATTCTGCAGCAAACCAAAAAATTGTCTGAACATCAGTACTTCTCAAACTGGCTAACTGGATATGTAGAAGACTCCCTGGCTTCACAGAAAGAAAACTAAATGGCTGAAAGGGCTCTTGTACATCTCATTTCTGTGATCCTTTCATGGAAATGTCCGATAGCTGTTCTGAACCTTACATGAGTCACACTGGTAGCCAGCGTTCTGGGCTCACAATATTTAGACAGGCAACAGAAAGAACTACAGCACTTTAAAGTTAACAAGGGAATAAGGGGGAGAGAAACAGTAGCATGAGGGTAACAAGGCGGCAGCTCTGTTCATGCTGAATGGGAAGCGAGCAGGAGGTGAGGGAGAACACCAGGAACCAGTAGCAAAAAGCAATGGAAGTGTGCTCAGGAAAACTGCTCACAAGAGAAGTCTTTGAAATCAAATACTACACAATGCATCATCAGAAATGACTCATAACCATGAAAGCGGACTCATTTTGCTAACACAATACACCATAGGGAAGACAAGAAGAGCAGGACAAGATGCAGCTATGCAGCACTGTCTAGATGTAGAGGTTTGAGGAACAGACACCACTGAAAGGGGAAATCCATACCCACCTTCACCAAATCTGGACTTGATTTTGCATTAGATGCTGAATCAAGGATCATAGATTCGGCATGTATTCTGCGTAACCGGTCTTTAAGATCTGTGTTTTGTGCTATTGCCTGGAATATTTAACAAAAATATGGGCGATATCAAGTTCTCTCAACTAACTTGAACGTGGCTTTACTATGTAAAAAGGGGCTAAGAGTATTGAAAGTGCAGTATAAAACATGACCACCACACGATTTTTTACTGGTTCAGCAAATCACTTATAAATGCTTCAAACCTTGCTCCTTATCTCTCAAATTAAAACTATTTTTGTTCAGTGTGAGGGAAAAAGACACTTAAATGGAGAAAAAAAGCCAAAGATAGCAGGGATATTTCAAGTTACTGGGTTTTGCAAGCTGATTTAATAAGTTATAAAATAATTTTGTGCATCTTTTTTCTTTTCAACCTCCCTTCCTTCACACCCCTGTTCTCCAGCCTAGCCTCTCTCAACATTAATTCTTACTCTTGCCACATCCAATTTTTTCCCATCAGCCTGGTATACTGACAGTTCCCTTTGTCTTCCACTGACAGAGAAATAAGACTTAAATTCAGACAGTTATAGATACAGTATGTATCCTATCAGCTTATAGTGGCAATGATCAGAATAAAAAGACTCTACTGCAAACTCATGTTTGTTTTATGTAATTTACTCATGCTGGGTGCATCCGATGGACAGATATTAGTTTGAGTAGACTTGTAGGAAGAGAATACTAATTTTGGAACAGTACTGAAGACTTGCTGCCCATTTTAGTGATCTGAATCTATACTAGAATGCGGAGAACCCTGCTGTTTACATACCCGTGTTGTCCCACAAATACTTCTGATTTTGATAGTAATTTTTCTTGGAAGTAGTCTTGAGGGCAGGAAAGACAGTAAGCTCAAAGTGATGATGGAGGGGAGAAAGTAATTTCTGGCTTTACATATGTGTGGTCTGAATTTGCCATACAGGCACATATCACTTCTGTGTCAAGCATTCAAAGGGACAGTACTGTGTCATACCCACAATATCAAATAAGTGCAAAAACAAATTTACACAGATTTCCTGTAATAGCATCTTCCAATTTTCATTGTTTGCTACAAGGTGCTTTCTTCCTTCTATTGTCTTCTTCCTCCCCCCAAAATAATAATATTGTACTTTTCCCCATTCTGTATTTGCTTTTCTTAGACTGTGTGTAGGTCAAGGATACTATCTTAATGAGGGAGAAGCAGAGAGAGATGCTAATTTTGTGGTGTTTTATTCACTTTAAATCTGTTCACTTTTCTTCCCCTGCCAGGCTGATGAGAGCAAAATAGACTTATGTTTGACAGCTTTCAACCTGTAAGTCTGATTTTTTGTTCCTCATGTACAGAAAACAAACTGAAATGAACAACAACAAACACTAAATCAAAGTCATCAACACAGGACTCTCTTGCAAGGTAAGTCTTAGAAATACGTCAAGTTTATCATATTTGTACTTCCATACGTCTTCAAAAGGAAGCTTATTCCTTTCTCCTGCAGGATCTCTGCTGTACAGGGTGACAAAATTTCTGTTGGCATCATGGCTTTAGAGATCTGCAGGCTAAGAATAGCTCTCACAGGTACTAACCTCTGGCTGAAACTGCCAAGGTTAACAGATTACTCCTAGATGGGCTACAAAAGGCTTATTAAGTATCAGGTAAAACCTAAAAATATGACTTTTAAAAGACATTTAGAGGATGAAGATGGACAACAGAATTTTATTGCTCAGAAAAAAAAATCATGCTGAGTGTTCACTGAGTTCAGAAATCTTAAAATTGACTTTTTCATATAAAATGGTAGGCAAATAACACTGGAAAAATAAAAGTCACCTATTCAAATATCAGAAGTGGAACATCTGAAAGCCAAAACCAAAGAAGTACAAATGACTGAATATAGTTATTGTGCAACACGTTTCAACTTTCTCTAAATACTATGAAAATATCACTGCCTCTAAAGGTCTAGGCAAAGAGGCATATTGTTCGCTTAAAAACTGTAACCATATGCAGCTTTTGTAAAGCAAAGGGAAGTTTTCATACTGAAATAATTCTAAGATGATCTATACCATGTTTATCAATGCCAGAGAGTCTCCCCTGCCTCTGATTAGGAATCTGCAACGAACACTGAAATTTAAGACCATGGTAATGATGGCCTTCGCTGCTCTGAAATCACATCACTGTCTGGTTGACATGTTCAAACATGACCAGCCTGAAAGTTCTGGTCTCAACCAATTACAAAAAACACACCAACCAAAATCCCCCTCCTTTTTAAAGAGTGCAATATTTTGTCATTTAGAACTCTGCCCTAACGGCTCCATTGCTGCTTTTAGACAACTAACAGATAATTAAGGTTGGAATTCAGTATGAACAGGTTGTACTTGAATTTGCTTTGCAGCGCCTTGGTGCAGCATGGTGAAGCTCTAGTGCATAAGAAGGGACAGCTGAGTGCTTTCAGCCACTCTCACCTCTATTTTATGCCAAGTCATACAGCGAATACTTGAGTGCTGTTTAGGAAAAGAAAAGGAAAAGGAAACCCACAACCTACAAGAACTGAGTGATTAAACAGTGTAAGTTTCGAGGAAAGTAGACTCATTGTCACAGAGCAGTCCTCTGATTCTGAACATGAAATGATACAGATTATACTATATACCTAAATCAATCTATCAAACTTCAGTGATTTCACAATACCTTTAATATTTAAGAAAGAGTCTTTGAACACCATATATAATAACTTACTATGATTCAATACTGCAAATTCTAGCACAGAACAGATACTAAAGAAACACAAATTAACTACCATAAAATTTTATGGTAGTATCTGATGACAATGAAGCTTGCTGAACTTCAGCATGTCACTTACGGATGTTAAGGCATTCTTCAAGCCAACTATTTGTGCAGACGGAGATGAGGATGCATCGTGCTCCAGCATCTGCTTCAGCTTTTCTCTCTCTGTAGATATGGTGCTGAAAGCTGACCTCAAGGTGAAGTAAACTAGAACCATTTCATAAAACGTGACAGTTAAAAACAGCTAACAATTGTATAACAACCAATTATGTAAAACTTCAATGAAACATCATTTATGGTGACAGAAACAAGAATTTAGGTTGAGAGATCCAGGATGGGTTACTAAAATATTAATAAAGGTTATGGGGTAGATTTTTTTAGTAGGAGAAATGTTTATGGTGAATGCTACTATATTAACTATATTAGCCACAGTCAAAATTACTCTGATTATTTGTGATGGATGGCAACAAAGCTAACTAACCACTTCTGCTCTTCACTTGCTTTTGTTCCCCAATTAGATTGAATCTTCAGATGGTCATGACTCGATTCCACATTCCTTTAAAATTCCAGTGGGGGAGAAGAAGAGAGGGAGGAAAAAAAAGAAAGGGGGGGGGAGGGGAGGGGGGGATCAAAAAAGCAGCTGTAACACATACTGTGCCACAGCTATAGGGTTAGTAGTTTCCCCACAAGCAAGTTCAACTTGTTAGGTGATTTAGTGACTCAAAGGGTCAGATCCTGAGTGTTGTTCACAGTATGCTGCTACTTCTACTCCTTCCTGAGCCAGTGTCACTAGCCCGAAACTTTTACATCAGACAACAGATCATGCAATTTTAAAATCACTACATTTTTAAAAGGGGAAATGCACTTTCCTCATTTTTTTTACTTTTAAGACATTTAATCTTTTCTTTAACCACAAGGAACAAATATTTATTTCAGTAATACTGGTTTATGTAGGATTTCAACATTGATCTAACTGGAGAATTAGAGAATTTCTGAAGGCCTAATCAAGCCTTGCAGTACAGTCATGAAAACTGCCAATGCAAAAACATATCCATTTACAGGGAAATTAAGATATAAAATCTGAGCATGGATTCACGGAAAGGGCAAAGAACAAGAAATTTCTGATACCTCTCTCTTCTAATCATCCACTCTGAGTTAACCTCACTTCACTGAGTATTTGATGTAACCTAATTTACTTTTCTAAGAAAATATTCTTAAGGTATGTTTCAACACTGCAAACCATTACCAAAGCTAATTCTCATACTTTAACCTACCTGAAGAAATCTTTAACAGTATGACGGGGGTGGGGAGGAAGATGTATCCACTATGATCTATTTTGTTAGCCTTTCATATGTGCATGACATGACCAGCATCTTCAGTGACCTTAATGTCATTTAGTAAATTGTATGCTAACTTAAATTTTCAAGATTACCTACTAAAGTACTAATGTTACATTTTATTTAATTTGTATCAAAAACTAAAGCAAAAGTTTTCTTCACTACCCTTTTCTGGAAACGGTGGGGTAAAAAGCAACTTTGGAAAAAAATCTTTGTACTTTTACTAAAACAACACTGTATTAAATGGTACCAAGTTAACTGTCCCCTCAAATGCATGGGTCAATCAAATGAAAATTTCCAACATGGATGTTTCAGGTAAGATGATCTTGAGTAGGTGATTTCTTTGCTCTGCTTAATAGCAACTATTCTGACTGTGCCCCACCCCCACTTCTTTTCTCTTTTTGGAAAACATACATCACATTTGGCTATAATTGACTTTATAAAGTTTACTACTTAGATACATTCCTTACATAACAGACTCAAGATACATCAGCACCAGAGGGGAAAAACAAGCAAAGAATGCTTATTGATAACATCAACCATTATCTTGTGCAAAAGGGGACGAAGTCAATACTCCCAAAAGTCTTTCAGATATAAATACTTAAGTGTCTTCCTCACCAAGACCACTTAAACAATAAAAACGTTTCTGTGGTGAGGGTGATGAAGCAAAGCACTGCTAATGAAAAATTATTTTGAAAGAAGAAAACATTTCTAGTCAAGCTGCCCCTCTGGCTGCTTTACATGATTTTACTCTTCTGTATTCACTAAAAATAGGTTACTACCATAGCAACCCTTGCATCACCAACAAATGCTGACTCTGAAATACAGTGAAGCACACCAAATAGACAAACATACATGTGCTCTTATACACACACATGCATGCAAACACAAAAGAGTATAATCTGCGGTTGTGTTTATAGCAACTGATTTGAGGCTTTATACCTTTTGGCAAAAAAATACAGTCTAGGTTTTTAGCACATAAAACAAAGGGCTGTCCTTTATTAAATAAAGTTTTTAAAATGTGATGATTAAGCCACTTTTTTCAAATTACTCAAGATCTCAACATTTGCCACTCCTCAAGTGAGTTAAAGGTAGGGAGAGCGTTTTCTGCTTTTTCTAAACATTAAACAGGAAGCATTCTCAGAAGTCACATCATTATTTAAATTGTCATGATACAAAACCACATATGAAAGATAATTTCGTTTACCTTTATGTGCAATGTGAAATAAGTCCTCTTGCATTTTAGTAAATTCTGATGATGTTTCAGAGCCATCAGAGTAATTTTTGTCCTCTACAAAATCTATTGTAGATAAGTTCGGATTGGAAGCATGCAGTCTCATAGGGGCAGAAAACACTGAAGGCACCTGTAAGGAGGACAGCCATTTGGGACGCTTTTAGAAACTGTAAAGAAAATTTTGTTTTATTGTACCCATCTGGGTTACATGTTGGAGATACGAAAAATGGAAAAAATACTGTCAGTTACCAATAGGCTTGGAATGGATGACACCTGGCAAATGAAACCACAGATATAACTTTGCCTCAGATATCATAAGTGAGGATTTGGCAAAACTCCAAGAAACAAGCCCATTAGGAGCTGTAGTATATGCTATACTATTTTTCCCCACTTGTAAGTATCTAATCACATGGCCTCTGGATGCAAACGTGCACAAAATTATCTGGAGAATTTGCAAAAATCTGTACTGATAAAAAGCTCCAATACCACAACCCCCCAAACTGCAGCGAGACTGAAAACAGCACAGATCATATTGCAGATATTAATGACAACATATTTGTGTTTTGTTTTAATATATTACCACTTAAAATGAGCTAGCACAGGACATTACTTAGAAAGGATTCTTATTTCCTAAACTGGTCACAACAGGAAGTGATCAATAACTAAGATTTGGAGAAAGATGGGCACTGAAATGACTGAAGTTACCTGTAACATTCCTTTAGCCTCCTTCCCAACAACTCTGGATCGCCACCTCCTGTGTGTTCTCTTTTCCTTCTTTGGGCTTTCGAAAGGTCCAACCTTTTAACAACACACAGGATGAAAATAATACAGATTGCCATAAAACTAGCTGAGCTAGGAAAAAATACCTTGATCCTTTAGGATTTAGGATTGTTTTTTGGAATTGCAAGGTTTTGGTTTTTAAACAACAAACCTGCATAGCATTTATAGCAGGTGCTGAATATGTCCTGTGAAGAACATCCATGCTCTGTAACAGTTGGTTCATTTCCAGTAAATATGTGTGACAGTTGGAGAGGTCTGTTTTGAAGAAGAAAATATTTTCAGTTGCCCTAAAGTAACAAACACACTGAAAGTTTTTTTCTTTGTAGGTTAGTCTTATTTTTGATTGTAGCTAGCTTAAGTTATTCACTGACTAAAAGCACATTATTTGACGACTGGATAAAAAGCTTGTATCCTTCTATGTTCAAGTTCAAATTCAAAACATTGAAAAGCACCTATATGGTGTGTATAACGATCATAATATTTTATCCTAGTTGCTTACTTATATGAGAATTGCTTATTAAAATTGCTTAAATATGCTTATTCTTATATGAGAGTAATGTGAGAATTACTGCAGTCTGGGACTAGTCAGAGCTCCTCATGGTGATGGTAAAAATGCCATAGGCATCAAGACTGAATTGTACATTCAAAGCAAGAGATGAGGCTCCTCTATATTAGAGCTGAAGCTCACTTGGTAAACTTCTGCCTAGCAGTAAGTATCACATAGACACTACCAACATGAGAAAGATCTTCATGCTCTTTGGAAAGCATGAAAACAGAAGGTGACTTTGAAGTACAAAGACTTAGAGCTTTTTGAATGACTAGATTTTGGATGCTTCTGTTTTTTGAATTCCCAGCTTAAGAAAGTTCAAATCCTGCTACTGAAGGTGATGTTTGTATATAAAAGAAAATGTACTGAAATATATAGGTTCCTTGAAGAGATGCCCACAACTGATACTCCCACATCCCAAGTCACTAGCCCTTTGAAAACGAGTAGTCAGTTAATCAACAACCACCCCTTTCCTCCTTCCATTTTTAGAGAAAACTCTAACTGAAATGACTACTTACAGTGTAGCACTCTTGTCGTCAAGAGAACTAGGGAAAATATGAGGCTACTTTCAACTGCCTTCAAATACAATTACCTCTTGAGCATTTTTCCATGTCTTCAGAGGACTGTAGCCAAGATGAAATCCTGGACTCATTACTCGAAAAGGAAAATGACAGGTTACCTCCAGTTGACAATGAATTCTGTTTGGTCAAGCTGCCCGCCTGTTCCAAAGAAGAACAAGTGGTTACTAACAAACAATATTTTAATGTTGCATGCACAAATTTTGACAACCAACAGTTGAGGTCCATGATCACAGACAAGGACTGAAGGCACCAATAACCTGGAGGAAAAACTGTTATGAACTAGACTAGGTGTACAGTCATTGAGCATAATGTCAGGATATCTAATGTAACTGTGGTCCACAAGCAGTAGAAATACTAAATGAACCATAAAAATTTGCTGAAAACTAGATTTTGAGGAAGGGCAAAATTCTGCATAAATTAAGCCAACTTAATACAATTAAAGCACCATATCAGAACAGGACCAAATTCAGACATTCTGGTCCTTCTCCATGCTCCCCAAAGAAGCCCCAAAAGTAACTTAAATGTAACATGCACGTATTTGTTAAAGCTATTTTTCAGTGAAGTAAGCAAGATCTACTAGACGTTATTTACAAATTTTACTCAAGGTTGTATGATTTTAGCATGGATTTGGCTTGACGGGCCTTAATACATCTGTGACCATACACCTCATTTGTGTAAATACTACCCTTTTACAACATCTCAGTAACCATTTTCAAACTTATCTCATTTTCAGCAGTACCCACTATCAGACACTTCAAGAGATGCTGGAAATTCTGTGTAAGAGTGAATTGAGAAGTACAATTAAGTAGATTCCAATGGGAAGAAATTTCTACCCAGTACTGTTACCAGTTGATTGTGGCCTATAATGCTGTCATCTTCTCCAATGAAACTACAAATAATAGCCATCAAAATGCCTAATTACTTTTAGACTTTACTAAACCTTTCATCTTTAATAATATCTATGTGAGGAAGTTGCACAAATTGCATGATTTGTCAACATCTTGTTTAAAATCAGTTTTAAAATGTTTCATCTCAAGTGCCATTACATGATGACTTTACTGGTTATGAGAAAAGCTTACTAAATTGTTTGTCTCTTCTCTAAAGCATACACTTTACAAATTTTGTTACCTTCTGCTCACCTTATATCAAAACTCAGGTAGTACTAGTTTTAAATCTATTCATAGGAAACACATCATCCGCATCTCAGTCAGTTGCAGTTTTCTTAGTTGGTCTTTTTAAATTTCCAATGTGAGCTCCAACTTGAGTTGCAGAATAAGATGCACTATCCATATGATGTCATTCAGTACTGTGCCAATTTTTATAATTAGTATGCAATAGTAGTAAGCATCAATAAGCACACTTATTTTTAAATTAAGCTATGTAGTTTAGCTGTTTTATTCCTACATAAAGCTGTATGAGCTTTAGTCATCTATATATGTATACCCAAATAATAATCCCAGCACCTTTAAAAGAACGAGTAAACTGAATTTAAAGATGAGCAATTGTATTGGCATTTTGTGAACAAATCCCACATTTATCTCTTCAGAAATCTGATACAACCAACTTTTCCAGAACTCATATACATAAGGGGCATGAGCAAGAGGGAGGAAGGAAGTAGGCATTGCCAAGAAACAGACAAGAGAGAGCTTGTGTAGCTCCAGTTAGCATAGTTTTGCTTTTGATGAGCACGGCTAAGCTTTAGAATCCAAGCATTCCACATAAACATATGTGTATTCATACACCTACCTCCCAACAACAACAAAACAATGTGAAAACCAATCAGCAAATAAAGGAAAAAGCAAAAAAAAAGGCGAATAAAATGCAATGAAAAGTTCACTCGATATATTTTTCTCAAAATAACCGAACTGCTGGATTGCTATCAACTAGCATCAAGCTAAGGATGGTGTAAATTGGAAAACTTCCATTTAGCTTCAGCAGAGCTAAGGTGATTAACTGCAGCTTAAGAACTATCCTCTTCTATTTTTCACATGAAAATAAGTAGGGCCTCTTTGCAGTGCAAATCTGGATTAATAAATTAGAAGTAAATTAAAGTTTTTCATGCCAAAGAAGAAATGGTTAGTTTCCTGACAGTGAGCATGGATTTTAGATATGCTGGTCATGTGGATCTCTTTTTTTTTTTTTTTGCGAGCACAGACATAGATATATCATGGGCTTTGCAATGTTCCACTTTTGCCCTCGATATTCTTCTCCCCCTCTATGTCTGCTGTCTGTTGGGAGAAAAGAACTAAATGGCTGCAGGAGGTTTGCCACTTGCCTGCAGACACAGCCTTGGAAAAGCAGGCTGTCAGAGCCTGCTGGCACCACAGAAAGCACGCAGACAGCTCTTTGCAGAACAGCCCGGTCACTGCAGGGTGAGTTACTGTTTTTTCAGCTGCCTGCTCGCACAGATCACCTCCCTCTCAGCCACTAGCAAAAAGCTGTTCATACACAATTACAGGATAGTCCTACCAAAGCGATGAACTGCACGTATTGGGTACCAAGCCCACTCAGACCATAGAGCAATATAGCCAGGGAAAAGAAAACCTTAGATAAAAGGATAACAAAGAGGTGATTGCTGCTTAGGAGACACTTCTGGAGTTGACAGAAACATATAGCTGTTTCAGTTATAGTAACACAGTATTGCTAAGACAGACATTACTCTCAAAACACATCACTGGTTCCAGACTGGAGCAGAAGAGCTTCTCTGGGTGAGCATCAGCCAGTCAATGTGCAGATTGCTGCAGGCACAGAGGTTTGTGTTCAGGCACAGAACACATTCACACTTCTGTGAGACTGCATCAAAGAGGTCAGTTACAGTGTTGGACTGAGCATTTGTCAAGTCATTTGTCAAACCAACAGTCACAGACTTCAGGTAAAGAAGTACACTGCTGGCTGGATCCATAAATAGTGGCCACAGGTGATGGCTCTGGGATAATTCCTATATACTCTTCAGGTAAGCACAGTCAGATCCGTTAATGTAAAAAGGGAGAGGTTTTATTAGCTGGAGGATAAATGAAAAAGTGCTAAAGGGAAAATCTGAGTGCTCTTCTGTGACCCAGACTTATATTCACCAGCACATAGCAGACAAATACTGATATATGTCTCAAAAATTATGAGGATTCTAACTCAATATCCAGTTTTAAAAGTCATCATGAAAATACAATTTACTGCATTAAAACAATGAGACAATATTATAGAATTTAACAGCATCATAGAGAAAACTGCTTGGGAGTAAATCTATAAATAATATCATTTTCCTCTTGACATTTGAGATCATAACTTAAACCCCACCACAAACTTCCATTATGCTCTTTAATTAATAAACAGAAATCAGACTAACTTAATCCCTGATGAAAGCTCATTATTTATAAATCATAACTATTACCTTTCTACCTGGAGTAGAATCACAGAAACCAGGGACAGAGTCCGCAGTGGTAGACACAGGGAAGAAAAGATTATTGACGTCATGTGGAAACATGGAGATTTCATTCTGGCGGTACATTCTGTGATGACGAAGTTTTGCTACCCATTCATCAAACAGCTCCTGAGATTTCACCTACACAAAATTTCAGGTTTTATAACATTCACATTCAAAATCATTAACGAAGAAACTAAGGTATATTGTGCTCTACACAGCTAGCCTGGCTGACATTTATTGGTAAAATATATCAGGAAAGCTTTTCTAATGATGTTCCTATGAAAATGCACACCATATGAACTTAAGTACGATAGGTTAATCACAGGATAAAGTCAAGAAAGAAAGAAACTTCAATTACTATGGTTATGACTTCCAATCAGAACACAATACTTAGCTTCCAGATGGAAAAAACCCAAACCAATATAAATAAAAAATATTTAATTAGTCATTTCTTAATTGCCATTTTTAAGGTTTAGTCAAGGTTTAACTAGCCACAAATGCAAGTTTGATTTTGGTGATGTATTTTAAAACAATTTATTCCACAAGGATAGAGAAATCTACACATTTGACTGTGGAAAATACTTCTTATAGATAAGACAAAGAGCAATATATATAGCTACTGAAAATAAAAGCACTTGCACAAACAAGTGCATACCTTTTGCTGAAAAAAGTGCTGCGTGAAAAGAGTTCTGCTAAACATGAGGCATCTTCAAAGTTTCTATTCAGAATGAGGTTACTGACTCTGGAACAGTACAATATGGCCTTTCAAGTTATGAAGTGTAAACTAGTCTGCTGAGACTAAAAAGTAAGTTATTAGTATAACTAACAGACCTCCTACTATTAAAAAACCCCCAAAGGTCTCCACCATACACAGCTAATGTTATTTTAGGAGCAAAGTTGTAATAATCTTGAATACCTACCTTCAGATGGTATATCTGCTCTTCTGTATCCAAATCTATACATTTTGTTGATTTCTTTACAGACATGACAGAAAGTCCAACATCAATACAGCCATGAAGCTTCCCTCTCTCTATCTGCAAAAAAGTAAAAAGAATAGTCACTCCAGAATAAAGCAAAAGGATAGATATTACCTGCTGAAACCATCATTTTCCTCCCTTCAACCTACTGTTTAGAACTGCTGATACTCTATTTCCCATTGCCAACAATATAGAATTGTTGTTATTTTGGATAAAATAGGGTTGTTACCTTATAATGGCCTTAAAGGGTTTCACTTACATCAGCTTGGCATTTAGAATACTTCAAAATCCCTCTGTCCAAAAAGAAGTATCTCTGTAACCGTAAATGCAGAGAATTAAAAACAAACAAACCAAACCAACCCAAGAAAAGCCCAAACAGAAAATCCACCACAACCCTCCCCCATATTTCTTTGGAGAACACTTTCTTCGCTCTTAAGTAATGTTTTTGCCACAAAACCACGCCAAGCAAGCTTCACTCATACCAGCATCAGGCTTACAGATACACATTCGTCTCCTACCTTGTGCCAGCCCTTCAAAGGCCATTTCCTCTTTTTCAGCAAGCAGCCCTCCTGCTTCTGTGGCTCCTGGGTACAATTCATTGCTCCCCGGAGTCCTTCTACAATTTCCCAGCTGTCCTGCTTGAATAGAAAATCCAAATCTAGATCTTATTTCTTCCAAAGAACAGAATTGCTAAGAGACATTCAAGAGTAAGAAGGCTATAAGTAAAAAAAAACAAAAACAAATGCTGTTGAAATCTAACCTTAGATCTATCTTTACAATTTGGTGTCTATCTTCCAAGACACAAGATTCTTTTTTATTTTGATAGAAACAATGCAAACTAAGCAAAATACTATTTTTATGATACCATCCTTCATTGAATGTATGTGCTTACCAGAGTTTTATATGTATATTTTTCTGTACATACATACAGACACACAGAGTGTATAGCCACAGTCTAATCACAACTTAGCATAAAAAACTTTCTGCCATCACAGGCAGAAACAGCCTATGCTAAAAGGATATGTTTTGTAGGTTATGAAGCAGAAATAAAAGACACTGAAAATTAAGATCTTTTCTATGAAACTCTTTTGCCCATATTCAGTAACTCAAGGTTTTGTGTTTGGTGTGAATTGCAATCTCCCTAAAGTAAAAATAATCAAATAAAAACAAATGAAAAGGCCAGGGAAGTTAACTCAAGTACTATGAGGAACATGACATAAAGAGAGAATACAAGAAAAATAAAAAACACCCTTCATCAGATACACCTCTAATTAAAAGAGGATCTCTCTTTTTTTTGCCATCAGGAAATCTTAAATGAAAGACCCTGCACCAACATAACAGAGAAGAGAATAAACCTCATAGTATTTTTACAGTTCTTATTTATGGAACAACTGCTGATGACAGTGTAACATGAGTTTCAATATTTCTGATCAGAGATCTCATGAATTATTTATCGCCAGCTACCACAGGATTCGGCAGATCTAAAATTACGGACAACTGACAGGAAATGGCACATGCTAATACCATCCCCATATATTTGAAAAAGACACAAGAATGCTTTAACATACAGACTTTAATGACAAAAAAGGACTAGTATGAAACACTTTGGGGAAACAGAACTATACCAGGTGGGTAAGTACTTCTGGTCCTCCCTGTAGGATACACAAGAAAGTATTCCTAAAAAGAACCTGACTGACTCAAAAAAACTTTAAAACAAAAATGAAACTGAAATCTGCAAGAGTGCTAGTTGTGCTCGTTTATCCATCTCCAGAATCTTTAAATTCACCCCTAGAAACCTAGAAAAAACTTACATCAGGTAATATGCTCATTAGTTCAGTAATAAGGTGTAACAGCAAACCATCGTTGAAAAGATGTTCATTAAACAGCTTAAGGAATGCGATCTCTTATTCCACCATGTTACTGGGGGCACTCTACTATTTTGTTACTATTTCCCTTGCACTGCACTTTATGGAACAAACTGGAAAGTTGCTGTTTCCCTGGCTTGAGTTCATTCTGCCAGCACTCACCACACAACAGGCTGCAAGCAGTAAAAACGTGGGGGTGGGCAGCTCCCATCATTCAACACCCTACAGCCCACCCAATGATGTTCTACTGCCTGAAGGTAAGTCAAAACTGCAGTTGTGCTAACCAGAATTGTTATTATGACACACATTTTGTGCCCCTACAGGTTTGGGGTTTATCCTTGAGAGTTTTGTAACAAATAGTTCCTTTACGCAGTCCAGTTTGGTATATTTTGACAGCTACTTAAATACCATTATTTCTAACCAACAATTACAAAAAATCATATTTTTCCTATTGAAAAGCAGAAGTTACACTCCATATTCTTTATTTTTTATTTTTACTACTTTGTGACTCACTTCAAATTCTCAATCATTATGAACCCTTTCCTGCTCTGGGGTAAATAACTATGATATAGTTATGGTAAGGTTGGAAAAGACCTTGAAGATCATCAAGTCCAACCATCAACCCAACATCACCATGCCCTCTAAACCATGTCCCGAAGTACCATGTCTACACGTTTTTTGAACGCTTCCAGTGATGGTGGCTCCACCACCTCCCTGGGCAGCCTGTTCCAATATTTGACCACTCGGTGAAGAAATTTTTCCTAATATCCAATCTAAACCTCCCCTGGTGCAAGTTGAGGCCATTTCCTCATGTCCTATTGCTAGTTACTTGGGAGAAGAGACCAACACCCACCTTGCCACAACCCCCTTTCAGGTAGTTGTAGAGAGCAATGAGGTCTCCCTCAGACTCCTCTTCTCCAGACTAAACAACCCCAGTTCCCTCAGCCACTCCTCATAAGATTTGTGCTCCAGACCCCTCACCAGCTTCGTTGCCCTTCTCTGGACACACTCCATATGGTTAACAGAGTGGTCTGCTTGCCCGAGAGAAGCACAAATTTGAGCACAATCAAGACGAACAGAAGAATCCAGATTCACCTTTTTGTAAGGATAAGCTTACAAAGAAAAGGACTCCTGAAGTGAGACAGAGCCATGCTACATGGAGCATATGAGGTGAAGAGAAAGGAAGCAGCTGAGAAATAGCTCTGCCAATTACACTCAGCTGGAATATACACCATGTCAACAGTTTTGATCAAACTTTTAAATACAGAGCATTTAAATACAATCCTGTTCTGCAGTACAACTCCAATTTTGTCTGGGCCTCTCCTGCAGTCCAGACACAAGGTGTCTCCCACTTTCCTGCAGGAGAGCCACATTTCTTAGTGTTCTTCAGGTCAGTGAGGTGGCCAAAAATGTGCCTTTACAAGTAAAAAGTGTGAAAATGGGAAGAAAAGCTGAAGTGGGAGCACTTCCCCCATTAAGCAGTCCCAATGGCCACCTCAGGTGGTGAAGGCACGTCTCCTACTCACATGTCTGCCCTGGGAACCTCACACTTCAACTGCAAATTTTACGTAAAGGTAGCTTAGTTGAATTAGAAATGATCCTTTCAAAAGCACAAAACTATTTAATAACTAAGTTACCCAAGGAAAGGCAAGGAATAGCTCAGAGAATTAACAGTTTGGGGACCTGCTGGATACATGCAAGGTGCAACGCCGCAGTAACAGCATCTGGTCCTCTTCCACGTATATCCATACAGAAGCGTCCAGTATTTCCCACCTGAACCCCTGAACTCCCACGTTTTTCAAAACTGTGCTGCTGTGACTGCTTTTGGATTCATTTGCTCTTGACCTAGACCCTACGGGATTTTGATTGGTATTTTGTTTTGCGAGAGATTTGACACATTTAATGAGGAAAAAGCATCAGCTGGCTATTGCTGGAAGCAGCTGCAGAAGCGAAAGAAAACTGCTTACTCTCTAAAATGAAGGCAGATGAATCAGGTTGGACGGTTATCATCTGTTCTCATCTGTCTGAAATAGCAGAGGAGCAAATGGAGATACAGGATTTCCTGAAAGCTACTGGAAGCATTCAGATTATGCTCCACTTTGCTGATTCTTATCCCACAACAGGGAACTGAAAGAGATACCCCAAACCACAGCACTAAATAAAAAAAAAAAACCCAACCACCACACCCCCAAACCCAGCTCCCCCAAGCTCCCCGCTGAACGGCACTAACAATTCTAGCATAAGCCTGATGCCCAGGTTGGTAGTGTCTTAAGGTCATCACACTACGAAAAATTTTGTACCATTATGGGCTGCTATCTGCACAAAATGATCAATACTGCGTTTGTTGCCCTGGCAGAAATTTCACTCGAGGCTGAGTGAAGAACATACTCTTTACTTTTCTCAGGTCCAGAGGTGCTCATTTCAGATCAGCACTGGAAATTCACCCTGTAGTCACTATTTGGCTTATACCTGCTCTGTGGCTGAGAAAAAAACCCATATGCTTTGGTCTTCAGAGATAAGTCTGTCGTTAGTTAACTGTAGTAATTTTCTTTATTTAATAAAACAAAAGCCTCCTTGTTTTCTGCAATATTCTGTACCATACAGCTCCTCAAGGCTAATTATTTCAGGAGAAAGAATGAAGTAATGAGTTTGAACAGCTCTCAGGCCAATGCTTGCACTTGCAGCTCCCTAAACAAAACACATGACAGTGCCAGAGTTTCTTCCAGTGTAAAATGCAGTCAGTTGTACAGAATATTCTGAAGTGCCAAAAATATAAACCCGCTTCGTGGAGGATAAGGGCTGGCATCAGCTGCAGATAAAGCATTTGTTACGGTTCGTAAAATTGGCAGCAATGATTTAATTTTCTTTTTTAGAACATGAGTTTTTTTAAGCAGCTCTCCTGACATAAAGCTTTTCCCTACTGAATCTATTTTTAAAGTTAGTTAACAAATTAGACTTTAAAATAACTACCACAATACATCTTCTTTTGCTCACACGTCAATTTAAATTTGAAGATGATCAACACCAGTTTTCCTTCCTCACAAGACACAGTTTGACTTAATGGCTTTGTGGAAATGATCCCTTCCCATGACTGAAGGAAAGAGGCAGAGAAAAGCAGAGAGGCGGGATGTGGCAGCAGCCTCCAACCTGCTATGAACCTTCAAGGTGAAGGTGAACTTAGTGGAACAGGATTAACTGATAACGTTTACAGTTCACTCTGCAAATGTGTTGTGTCTGGCAGAAAAAGGGCACCGAGTTTAGCAAAAGAAGGCGTAGGCCCCTCCACATCCTGCAGCCGTGTTTAGGTCAACTCTTTTTTAGCACAGTGGATCATCTTCTGCATCACAGGACTCTGTTTCTGCTCTACAGCACCAACACACGTTGCTCTGTGAGGAAGAATAACTAAATTTTAGCAGGCACAGCAGCCTGGTACTATGGGGGTTCCATACCCCAATCTCAGGTAGCTTCTTATTACGTGGTGCTAGTGCGTACCTGCAACAGAGTCTGGAAATCAGAGACTAGGAAATCAGAGAGACTCAAAAATCAGACCCCACTGTTTTGAGGGGAAAAACAACTGAACTGTCCACGTCCCTTCCCCTGCACATTTCAGAAATTCTTTCTACTTAACTAGATTAAAAGAACTGGTGTGTCAGATCAATAGCACAGAGAAAAGCACCTGCCAGGCAGCTCTGTTGTTAACCTGCAAGCAATGAGCCTAGCTCTGAAGGCCCCTGAAAGCGATGCAAGTGTTTGAAGGAGGAATAAGAAGCCCTCCATGGAGCTGGAAGATGAAGGAAAGAATATCAAAATTGGAGCACTTCCCTCCCCAATCTGCACAGCCTATGGCAAAATTATTTAAAGTTTCATCATAAGTATCAGTATCAGTAACAGTGTTACTTGTACTCTTGTACCAGAGCTTTGGAAAAAAAAAAAAATCTGTGGTACTTTTTGGATTATGGGACTTTCAACAGATTTAAAGGACTTTAGATTGTTGCTGTTTTCTTAATAGAACACCTGAAGTGCTGTCATTTAAACTAACATGCAGGTGAAAAGGGTAAATTAAATAAGTCTCAGATGGGTAGCAACTCATACCCAAGTCTTGTCAGGACTGAGTAGGTAGATATTAGTAGCAAAGCTCCAATTTACCCATACAAGAGGCTCAGTAAGAAAAGAAGCAATTAATGATACGAACAAAACTAGTTGATCAGATGTGACAAGAAACCGTCTGTGGGAAGGGGGGAGCAAAGGAACAGGACACAAGATCTCAGCATTCTCACTGCTCAGACCAACAATTTAGATTTTATTATATATGCTATACCATACAGTTTACACGACTAAAGAGAGCGTCTATCTAGCAAGGTAAAGATCTTTACAAGCTGCAAAACCAGAGCCTTTGGGGAAGCAGGAACAGGGAGAAGATATTCATTCCTCACCCAAAGCACTGTTATGTCCAGGCCAGTAAGTCTTGCACAGTACTGCCTCTGTTAGACCTCAAGGTCCCTCTTTCCACATGCAGCACAGAAGAGTGTATCTAACAAAATATTCACTGAAATGTGCTACCATCACAAACTATAATTAACAAATGAATTTAAAAAAAGGGAAAATGGCCCACAGAAGTTATCTTCAAGTAAATATCCAGAGTGCATACTGCATAGGATATCTAAATCTGTTTTCTCAAGCAAAAAAAGATTGTTCTGTAAACTTCAGGACAACTTCAGCGTGAAAAAACAGCCATGTACAAAACACCAAAACCATACGGGAATTAAGTAGGGAACAGCAATACACAGCCACGCACATAAACACTGACAATGCTGAAAGAAAATGCAATTTAGAACTAATTTTTTTTCTTTCTAAATTTAGCTACTTTGAAAGAAGACCTCTAGATCACTTCAGCAGAAGCAAAGTTATAGGATAAGCTAGAAAGTTATTGCACTTGGTAAAGAACAAAATAGAGAAAGTATTAAAGATTTCCTTATAAATATCAGAAGTCCCCATTTAAAAAGAAAAATCTCAGAAAGACCACTGGAACCTTAAAAAGCACATGTAATTTCTGAAAAACATGTTTGTAAATTTTCAGACTATATAAAAAGCAAGCAAGCAGAGCTTTTAGCCCTGCTTAGTGATAATTTCCCAGCACATAACAAGAAGTCACACAATCTCCCCAGCTTCTGTGGGCTTGCCTCTATCATTACCACCCCCTGCAAACATGGACAATCAGTCAACCCATGCAGGTTCCCTAGACGCAAAAGAATACTGTTACTTACTTTGTATTACAATGATTGACCATGAAAAGATTAATAGTGAAATATTAATTGGAGATACTTATCACCATGCCCCATACTATCACAAATATCGACTGTATCACCTTCAATATACATTGGGAAACAACCTACTTTGTACCTTTATTTAGCTTGACCTGATAGGTGTATGGGGCAATTTACCATCTGCCTGACTACAAGGAATGAGCATGGATGTACCAAGAATACAAACAAAACACCATGTTGCATCTCTCACCTTGGTCAAGTACACCTTGCATTTTTGTACAAGGATCAAAGACCAAAAAATGGGTGATTGACAAGATGACATTAAACCTTACTGAATGATTCCTTTTCTGCAAAGAGAGCGTGTGAGAACAAAATGGATAAGAAATAGGACCTGCTAATAACAGTATCAAAAGCCTGAACTAGATAACAGATTTGATCATGTTAAATGGCAGTAAGCAAGGTTCTTGCAGAAATTGCTTCTGCGTAAGTCTGGTTGCTTATACTGGCTGTGTAACACACCAGTGGACTTAGTCATGCTCACATGAGATTTATGTAAATCTTATTATTTAAGTACTACATGATAACACTTGATAGACATGCACTGTTGAAAGAGACAATACCAAATGTTTTAAATTACACTTTTTAAAGGTAATCTCATACTGAGGATATGAAAAATAATGTTGCAGGGGAAAAAAAGTCATCCTAAAAGCAAGGATTTCTTTGCTTCGTCTATTAGAAATGCACAGCATTTTCTACAAGCACAGCACTTTAAAAAGCATAGATTGTTCAGAGATTTGTCTGCCTTGCCAATTGTATGTACAGGGCCAGAAGTCCCAGAAAAGCAGGTGCTATTTCAAAACACAGCTGAGGTCTCCAAAGCTTTTGGGGGATTGGGATGCTCAATTCTAATTAAAATTTCAACCTGAGGCAGTTTCAAGAGCTCCACTAAGCCAGCATCTGTACAAATAAAAGTTTATGTTGAGCATGTTGCTCATGGTTTTGCAAGCATGGATTGAGCGTGTTTAAGCTTAATTCTCAGTGTGGCTGCAGGTTAATGTTTCTTGCCCACAAACAAAAGCTGTCTTTAGCAGTCTTACTTGTCAGGTGCACTCGTAGACATGTCTTTTAAAACCGTAAGGTTTAAAGAATAGCATCATCTCTGCAAAAAACAAAGCATCCTTTGCATTGGGCACCCAGATGCTTCACAAATACTTATTCTTTTAACTACAATTCTACAACAACAATCAGCACACACAGGCATTCATAGGCTCTTTTTCATTGCCTAAGAGGCCCTATGTCAAGTTCAGAAAAATGCATTCTCTTTCACATATGCACGCACACCTTTTCCTGCAAACTTGAAATAAGCAGAGCAGTTACACAATATTCCACCACAAAAGTGGTACCTTACAGGGAGGATTTGGGATTTCAGGATCAAACCACTGCTACAGCAGCAATATTGCACTGTAAAGACACCATACATACAACATGATAGAAATTCAAATTCACTGTTAGCATTCCAGTTTTGCAAGAGCCTGCTATTCAGTCATGTGTGTTTACTGCATTTGACTCAAAACAAGATTCAGTTACCAAGAAAAAAAAGAAGAAAACAGAGTAAGGAAAACAGAGACATGATAAAATAAAACAAGCAAGCACCAAGAAAACAGAGTTTAAGAGACGTGCCTATATTCAAGAGCAAAAGTAACAGCCAAGCTTAGTAATGCTTTCAGTTTGGTTAAAAAAGTTTGTATTACCTGTCGACTTCCCTGCTTGGAGGAGCAGCTGCTAGTACTTCTTGAAGGAGACAACATTTTCTGGGATACACTGAAGCTTTTTTCTTCGCTCATAATCCAATACCATTTGTTTCACATAAGCTCACTTAGAACACCATTAAAAGGTAATTTAGAAAATCTGTTGGAAGACTCCTGAGATAAATGCAGAACTCATCCTTTACCCATATGCAGTCCAGTGGCATGATCTGCATCCCATGGAAATTCCTAAAAGGGAAAAGAAAAACAAAAAGCCAAGTTATCAGATGCCATCTCTTACTGCTGTCCTGTAGCATGGATCATGAAATCATAATAAAGCCTTCAGTAATGCAAGCTGACTGCTTTACTGTATACTGTTGGAAACTAATTCAATAATCACTTTAGGTTAAATTTTCAAACCTCAGACAGGAACAATGAGAATTTTGGATCCTAAATGCATAATTTAATTGCCACTATTTATTCAGAGAACAAAGTACAGTATCAAGCATGTTTTTAAAGATCTAAATTAATAATCCAATTTAAAACAAAAGACACACACAGAGTGTAATAAATATCAATATAAAAAGACCCCAAATACCCTCAAAATTAGAAGAAAACATCTAATAAAATGTCTCGCAAAATGGATGGTGAGTAACCCCTAAAAAATTTTTTTCCCAGTTCCTTAAACAAGTAAGCATGGCTATAGGTAGTAAGGAAAAAAAGAGAAATCTCTCTATATAAAAAAAGCAATAAATAAAAGCAGTGAGCATGCAAACTGAGCTGCATAGAACTGTGCACGACCACTCTTACCTGGAATCAGAAAGTTGTAACTATTGTCACATCAGTTGTCCAAGTCAATGACTGGAACAATAATTAACAGTCTGTTTAATAACAGTGCTGTTTGCAACATATGCAAATAAAAGCCATGCCAGAAACTCCCAATAACGAAATTTCCAGTGTGGGCAAGAGTTGTCATAGTAACTGCATATTTTTTTAAAACCAGAGGACATAACAAAAGGGTGATGCTTTCCAAAAGTTGGGGTGGTGGAAGAGCTTTATAAATTGTGTATCACTTCAGATTTTATTGTCTCAGGCACGGAATTTGCACATTAAGAAGAGTGCAAGAACCACCACTGAGGAAGGTAAGGAGCCTTCCACAAAGAGAAGAGAAATTTCATTGCCGGCACAGGGAGGCACTATTTCACAATCCCCTCGCTTGTGCTGTCAGAACACCCCTGATCGGGGCTCACTGATTACTGAAGTTTGCCGTTCACTTTTTCTTGAAGAGACTTAAAAACCTATTCTGAGAGAAGCAGCATTTTCAGATCCCTGGTAAAACACTTTGTGTGTTTTAAGAATTCATTTCCCTTAAAAAAACCCCACAACAAACAAACAAACAAAAACCCCAAATAAAAACAGGTGCTACATTTAAGATTAAGGCAACACTATGCTGCAGAAAACCTCTCTCCCTACTGCCAAAGTCTGAAGCATCCAACTTCCAAAGACCTTTTCCAATCTCCAGTGCCTCTTTGGCAATATAGTTTGCTGTAACATTTCAACCAACATGCCCTCTTTTCACCCGAAACAAGGTCTCCCTTCATGGCATTTACCTTACCTAGTTAGAAATACTCAGTTACCCTCAGAGCAAATCTCTGCTCAGCAAGAGTAATGAAACAGCCCCAGTCTCCAAAAGCCAGGTGAGAAAGCGAGCTCTGCTGAGGCTCTTCCACTGGTGCGTCCGTTCAGCAATTACGTCCAGGTACAAAGCCAGCGAGCACAATGCAAGAGCCTCAGAAAACCAGAACAGCACAGCAACGTGATAGAAAGGTCTGAATTGGGCCTAGCACACGAGTTTTACACTGAAATTACTACTGAGAATAGGAATAGTGCATTTTGGAGAAAGCATAGTGGCTTCCCATCAGGAAGACAAATTTGTGTGGCAGTTCATTAAGGACTAGCACTTTTAAGAGGTTTAGATTTATCTCTATTTATGCAGGTTTTAAACTGTGGCGCAAGTATAAAGTATAACTTTCTTGCTTAGTTTCAAGCTGCATTTATTAAAATAGTTTAATGATAACATCTCTATTAACAGGCAGAGGTTAAATATTTACAACAGGGACAGAAACACACTTCCTGCAAACTCATCATTCAGATACCCCCTTCAAAGTACCACGCATCAAGTGCTTTACTTTTTTGGCACATTGTTTGCTCAGATAACTGCCTGTTCTCTTCACTGCTCGATGTTCAAAATGAGCACTTTATCACTGGAATTTCTTTGGTGACTATCTGGCATTCTGGCAAAGATTGACAGAGTTCATGGCAAGAAACAGGCTCTAATTTAGATCAAAATGCACTGAAAGTTGCTGTCATCAGTACCTTGCAAGTGTGTCTCCAGGACGCTAGATTTAAGTTATACAATGCCCTCTGCCTGTTTGAACACGGCACAATGGTTGCGATGTCCTAGAAGCATCAAGTAGCTGAAAAAAACTGAGGTCTCATGGACTTCAACACAAACAGAAGTCATATAGTCGTAAGAGTATTTCTATCATCATGTTTTTGGTGTGGAGTCTAAATGGAGTTAAGTTGTGGCTACATTAGCATTTTAGGACAGAGCAGAAGGGCACTTCTGCTGGAAATCTCCTGGTCCCCTCTCTTGCCACATTTTGGTTTGCACTGCAGGACAGTCTTGGCGCATGGAAACCAAACGCCTTTTGGATGAACTGTGCTCCAGAAGTGCATCCAGTGCTCACAGCATGGAGTCCATGGCACCAGACTAGAGCTGGTCCTGACCAGTCCCATCTTGGTGTAGATGTTGGGTCCTCACCTTTAGCTGATTCACTACAAAGGTCCACTTTTACTGTACTGCTCTACTTGCTAACATTGATGGCATCTAGACATAGACTTACACCACCTAAGTAAGTACTTAAGATCTCCTAGGGCAACGTCATTTGTTCTTTTCAAATCAAAAAGAGAGATGGGCACTTTTCCAGAATTCAAGTGAGTTGAAGATGACTCAGCCACCTAATCAGAGGTGCTTAAAAGAGGGACAGGAGGCAAGTGGGGTAAATCTGACAGAGAGCACCTGAAGTATTTTGTCAGTCTGCTTCCGAAATTGGGCTTTTGAATTTTCCTTTATTCCTTCAAACCAACTTACTACACGGGCTGAAGAAAAGGCTTTTGTCACCAGCCCTGAAGAAGGCATGAGTGAAGTGTGCCCTCTCTACAAAGTGTTTTTTTATTATTTTATTGGTGTTTCCCAGTAATTTAACTTATTACCTTGAGACTTACAGATTTGAATAGGAAAGTGTATATGAATAATGAACACAGCCCCAACTCATCTGTGAAAACTGCTGCATGCTCTAGGAACTACTTTGTGCTCCTTTTTTAAAAGTCTCTTGAAGTTCAGGAAGAAAAAAAAAGAGAACTGTGGCTGTCCTCCAACAATAAACCACTTATTCTTCCAGGAAGGTGTGAAAACACTGATCCTGCATCCCAAACTGACTCTCTTTTTTTGGCTGCCAGAGCAGTGACTGGGCCTCTCTAGGGCATCTGATATTTTACATTACCTGTGGAACTTAAGCCTACCAGGTACAAGAGCAGTTACAACTTTAAAGCAGACATAAAAATCAGTATTATGCTAAGCTGAGATTGCAGCTGAAATTGATGTTTTGAGGTCGTCAGGTCCAGTTACTTCAGGTTCAATACATTTTTCCTCCTCACCATGGCACAGGACAGTCTCAGAATTGTGTTTGTGTCCACCTTTCTTCTGGAGCACACAGTGCCACTGACTTCAGTCTATTCCAAAAAGACAAGTTAAAGGTGTGAGGCTGAGGCAAATCCAAACAGATTTAGGACAGGAATTTTCACAAGTACTAAGTATCGGCCCAATTCTTCACTATCAAGCCACAGCAGCAAAAGTAGGCCAAGAGAGTACTTTTGCAAATGATCTCACCAGGTGCATTTTAAAAGAATTAAGAATACATGAGTATAAAATATTATTCATAGCAACTACATCCTAACCCCATAAACAGCACTTACCTCTACGTATCATCTGTTACTAAGAGCCTTATCACTCTTCATCAATTAAAGCTAATGTAAACATATGATAATATGTACAACAGGAAGACTTTTTTTTTTTAGAAAGTACCTTCCCAAGTTGTTCTCAAACCTTTAAAACTGGACAAGTTCAAAGCAGCTCCTCAGTATCATAATTCATCTCTTGCAACTCTGAAAGCAATAAGCTTACAGCAAAATCCACGTTTTTCCATATCTTACAGAAGAAGAAGGGCAGAAATTTAGTTAAAAAAAATTGAAAACGACACTAAAAAATCAACTTTATGTAATTATTTTTGTTATGGTTCTGGAAGAACTTAACAGCTGCTTCAGAGCTGAATCAGCAGTGAAAGAACACTGAAGAGAGATTTTGAGCAGCAAAACTGGAAGCATACATCTCATTCTATAACTGCAGTCAATTATGATTTTGTGGATAGAAGAATAGGAACAACAGAAAGCCTGATGAGAGTCACGTGGACACAGCAAGCACAGGACTGAACCATCCAAATCAGAATTGCAAGCAACATTGAATGACTTTCACAGAATTAAAAAAGAAACTGTGCTGAAACCTTTGCTCTGTAGCTATTACTAAGTTACATTCACTCGTGTCCACCTGGATAAACAAAGCAGCAGTCTTTGCCAAGTAACGCTTTCATGGCTTTCTCTGTTATACTTCAAATTGTCAGCTTTAATCTACCCCAGCATCTCATCTGACTCAAAAAAGGGAAGAATTATTTATAGACTATAGATACGCCATGTACAACTACAGGAGATGTCTTTTCAAGGAGGGTATTAGTTGTTCCTGAATTACTGTAAGATTCATATTATTGAAGGACAAAGCACACAAATACTGTTGTATTGTGAACACCTGTTGCCAGGTGTTCTCTTTACAGAAGAAAACTTGCAAAAACAAACATAAAATAGTTTAAAAACCTAAGTTACTAGAACTATCTTTGAAAGCAAAAGTTCAAACAGCTTGGGGAGACTAACAGTAATACGAAGTATTTCAGAACTGCCTTCCATCAGATAGGATGTGATTTGGACAA